GTTATACTTTACTAGATACGCTTTAAACTTTAATACGCTACGTATTTATATTTATTTCTACTAAGCTTTACGTAAGAGTTACGCTTATATTAACTATAGTTAATATTCTAATAGAGTATTATAAAGAATTAATAAATAAAATATTCGAAAATTTTAATATTTAAAAATTTTAGTATTCTAAAATTTTAATATTCTAAAATTTTCGCTAAGTTTTATAGTTTCGGCCCCTACGCCCCTCTAAATCTAAATAACTTAGACTTATAATTATTTTAATATTCTAAAATTTTCGCTAAGTTCTACGATTTCGGCTCCTACGCCCCTCTAAATCTAAATAACTTAGACTTATAATTATTTTAATATTCTAAAATTTTCGCTAAGTTCTACGATTTCGGCCTCTACGCCCCTCTAAATCTAAATAACTAAGACTTATAATATAATCTTTTAGTATATTATTTTTTTCTCTCTCGCTAGCCTCGCTAGTCTAACGAATTTCTTAAGAATTCGTCTATTTATTAATCTAACTCTTATTATTATCTAGTAGTAAACTCTTTATTTAGTCTTTATATCTTATAAGCTTATAAAGAGAACTTATAATTAATAAATAAATTTTTAAGAGATTTAGTCTTCGCTCGTAGATTAAAGAGTTTTTATATATAGCTAAATAAGAGTTACGTAATTAGTATATAACTTCTATAGGCCTTATATATAAAGTATATACGAGGCGCGGCTATAGATTCTTATATTCGGCGTCGTCTCTAATAGCTAGCGGCTAAAGAGAGACGTTAAACTAAATAAATAAAAAATAAATAAAATAAATAAGTCTCGAGCGAGATATAGTAGAATTACTCTATCTTTTACTTTAGTAGTCTCTTCTCGCGCCGCGGCGTAAGGATTAGATACTACCTTATTCTCGCCCTCTTCGGGGAGGGCTGCTGTCCAGACTCTCTCGGGGCGGCTCGATTACCACTACGGCCATCCGTGCTCATGTCATCCGGCCTCGGCGTCGTATCAGACTGCACATCCATCGGAACTACCGAGTCTGACAGCGCTGGCGTGGCTTGCGGGTCCGGAGCAGCTGCTGCCGCTGCCTCGTCGAGCTTCACCGAGTCAATCGCCTCGCACAGACGCTTAAAAAGGTCTGGGGCCCACATCTCGTACACGTTCCTAACCAGGCGCCAGGAGCGCCATGAGTCCGGGTTCTCGCTGGGAGAGAGCAGGAACGTTCCCAGCGAGTGGCGGCAAATGTTCGTCTTCTCCCCGGTGATGACGGGGTAGTACGCGTGCATGTACACCAAGCTGTGGTTGAAAGAGATGGAGAAGGCCAGTATCTGGCCGCTGACGTCCATGTTGGCCATGCGGAAGAGCTCAACCATGGCCAGCACGGCGACGAAGATGTTGTGGCCGTTCTGATTCTCGGCGAAGTCGATGCTCTGTTGCCACGATTTGACTTCGCAAGTGAGGAATGGGAAGTACACGAGGTGCGTTGGCCTGAGAGCCTTGTTCTCGCTGGCGATGATGTCGATCTTGTTTTTCCGATCCTCAGTGAAGGCAGACAGTGCGAACCCCACGCAGTAGTCAGGCTTTGGTCCTCCAAAGTCTGGAAGCACTGTCGGCAGTTTGATCCACTGCTCGTTCCAAAGGTCCTCTAAGAGATCGTACGTGCCCCCTAACTTGTCGTCGTGAAAATTTAGAACCGCCAGTTTTGCCACTACCGGACACACAAGGTCTTGCAAGTTTTGCATAACGCCGTCCTCGTTTTTGTCGTCGATGCGCCGCAGTAGCAACCTGAGGGTCATCGATTCGAACAGGTCGTTCCTTGCGGTCTCTGGTGTGTAGCCCTTCAGGTCTCGTATCCACGTCTCGCTCTCCTCATTCAGCCCGTGGTAGGGACCCCTTCTGTTAGAGAATAGCTCTCGCTCATACAAGTACATGTGCACAAATCCATTTCCGTTCCTCAGCTTCTCGCGGCATTTCTTCGATTTGTACAAGGCTGGCGTCGTGCCAGCGGTGCCCGTCTTAGTGGTGTTGTTAGAGGCGTCGGTGAGTTCGTCATTCTCCGAAGCAGCTTCAGAGGTACTCGCAACGCGCTGAACGTCGCGATTAGGTGCTCTCTTAGCCTTTGGCTTGGGCTTCCTTTGGGCGGAGTTGGCTGCAGGTGGAGCCATGGCGCCCTGTTTTGCCAGCCTCTGAACGGACTGCACCCAGCTTTCGGTCTGGCGCTCGAGAGGGGTGGTCCGGGCTTCGAGCCTGGGGCGGATACTACTGTCAATGTCCCTCCGAGCGGGAGATTGCGCAACAGTACCGTGTGGACGCGGACGATTGCGCTGGCGCGGTTCGGCAGGTGCAGACTGGCTCGGCTGGTTGGCGGAGTAATCCGGAAGCTGTTGACTTCTTCCGGATCGCAGGGGCTCCTGTTTTCCCGGTCCCTTCTTAGGTCTAGGGGCTGGCCTGGATTTGGCCGCTGCTCTCGATTTCAGGGCCGATGCCGGTGGGTTGGCAAGATGCGCGGGTTCTGTAAGGTCCTTCGGCCCCGCAGGTTGCTGTAGCTTTTTCTGGCACGTGAGATACAAAGGTTGGATCGTTATCGGAGAGCTGGCACACTAACTTGCCGCGCTTTAATCCGGGAGCTCCGTCTTGGCGGCGCGGGGTCCGATGCTGATGGCTCTGGAGAGGCGGTCAGCGCGTGTGCGTCGGTTTTGTTGCGGGCTATCCAGGGGATACGACGGACCGGCGGGCTTCTCCTGCTTGCCACGGCTTCTGGCGGGGGCGTGCTGCGGAGAGGACTTGGGCTGATGCTCTGCGCGCGGCCGCTTGCGCGAGGCCATGGTTGAGGGGCGGGTGAAAAGGGCGGGCGAGAGCGGCGAGCTGGACGAGAAGGTCACGTTTAGGTATGGCCATGGCGTTGTCTTGCGAAAGACGTTCTAGCCCCTCGCTACCCCATGCACTCTGGATGCCGACGCGGGCAGGGATGCGACCCGTTAAGTACGCTGATAGGCCGGAGCATCTCGGTTCGGCCGACGGTCCGCTTCTTTGCGGCCCGTCACGGGAGCGCGGGCGCTACCTCAGGCCAATTGGCTCTGTCCGCCCACTCTTGAAAGCTTGAGACCTTTTGTAGATCTCGTAGAAAGCGTTTCAACAAGGTCAAATAATGCTGCTGCGCCGCACACGTCAGTCAATGGCGTCAAGCTGCAAGATATACGTAGTAATACAACTCTCCGCATGGAGTCTCGGAGCTGGTTAGCATGCGCGCGAGTGGACATTTCTCGGCCCAGCAACGACAGTAGAAAGCGGGTCAATTCCAAGATCAATTGCCGTATCGTACCGTTCGCCGCGATCAACAATGGTGGGGCAACCTTGTCCCCATCGGAGTGCAGATGCCGATCCTTCTCTTGACTGTAAGCAAACGTTCGACCTCGTCCGTAGCATCCCTGGCGGGTCGTTTAAAGGTGTGCATTATTATTGCCATGTCTCAGGCTAAAGTGGCTAGGCTACCGATGCTATCTGCTATTAAGAGCGGATCCGTTATTGTGTGAACCTTCTTGAACTTGATTTCATGGCCGTGGAAATTCGTCGTTTTGTTAAGTCGTTGTTCGCAAGGCTACGATACGAATCTAATCAGCTTATGCCGAGCCGCTGTAATGTAATAAACAAGAAGACTGATAATGTTTATATTGAAAATTATGGCCTCCTAAATATCTCTGTTACCCCGCTCCTGCCGACAGGCGCCGATTGCGTTCCCTCGCCTTCGCCACGTGCCTAAAAGTTGTATCTTATAAGTATTCTTACGACTAGTTTTAAGTATTTACTCACAACTGTAATCAAGAACAAATTCTATAAGAGGCGGAGGCGGAGAAGGGAAACATGAAGAACGAGGAATACATCACTGCAACAAAATGCATTCTGACGATGCTGAGGTGCACGTGGCACATCGCCCCATCCCTGCAGGCTTCAGCGTTGATGTGGACCTCGGCGGCCAGACTCTGCAAAGTGATTTCTCGATTCAAGGAATTGTGGTTACGTTTGACCGCCCGCCGCTAACACTGGCCAGCGGCGACTTCTTCAACGGTGGCGATACTGCGAACGTATCCTAATGGGCCTTCCTGGCCGACGACGGGTTACTGATTGTTACACTGCAGAGATCGTAGACTCGATTCGCTCGATTACTTGCGGGGAGCCGTCGTGCCATTCAGCTGATGCCACGTCTTATGAAACTGATTATCAGATCAACCCCGCCTAGAAGACAAGGCTGTCGGCACGTCGCCTCGACTGGCATGCTTCAGGCTGCGTGCTGCGAGGCAAAAAGGAAGCAGGACCACGACCATCGACGCACCTTTGCATATCGGAATGGCCCGCAATCAGTGCTATTCCTGTCCCTCTGAGACCTGCAAATTTCCATTAACCCTCGACGAAAAAAAAAGCCCCAATTACGGTTCCGGAAGGATAACAGAAGCAAAAAGGGCATTACACGAGGCTTGCACCAGATGCAATGCCGTAAGGGATATCGGCGGTGTCGTGTAGCATTGCTGATAAAAATTTCCGGTCGGAGCTGCATTGATTGTCTCAGCCACGACTGGCTACTACTTCCCGCCATCCGGGGTCTCGCAGCGGCAAAGAATAGGCGACAGCCACGTAGCCAACCTTTTCTGCCTGCTACACACCTGCATGTACCGCGGCGGGGCTGAACACGTGCGTTCATGCGAGCGTCCACCCACTACTGTTACCACGCATTCTGGGTCGAATTGTTCTAGACCACGCTTGGCAAGCATTTTCTAGATTCCAAACATAAGCGCTAGTGAATGGAGCTTGGGTCGGACGGCATTTAATAGGTCTCAAGGCGTTTGGTAGTACGAAGCGCAAGGCTGTAGCGCTGAATCCGTAAACGTATGTCATAGAAGCGGGGTAAGCGTGCACTTATAACGCCTACGCTCCCACTTTATTAGATAGCCATACTCGGAACTCGAGGTCTTTTCTTTACACGTTTTCCATACTCTCTGACCCTCATGTCAGTCCGCGAAACCAGCAATCTCATCAACCGAAATGAAAGTGGCAACGGGTACCCTCGCAGCCAACAGCGTACCGTAACAGAATGGATTATTGAGCTTTGGGAGGAGTCCAAGGCAAAGGAAGTGTTCACACTCCCGGCGCAGAGAGGCGAAACCTTAATCAAGTCCCCTGAATACGGTTACCGTATCGATTGTCAAGGGTACTTCGAGGTGAACGGCACGAATTGGCTTAACCTCCAAATTCAAGAGAATGTCCTTCGAAAAGTATGGTCACCAACGAACGCTAGTTGTACATATTACTAATGCAAATTAGAAGGGCGAAAGTACGACAGTCCTCACCACGTACGTTCACTACGATGGCTATCATCGAACAAGTTTCATCACCAGCAAGATCATCTTGCAGGCGATGAAACAGCAAGCAATGCATGGCCTCCCAGAGTATGTCATCTTTGTCGAGGCAAATGAGAATGGAAAGAGCCCGAAGGGTCTTCAAAACATCCCGCGTAGTCCTAATGGGATAGTTAACAGAAGAAATATCTGGAAACCAGAGTAGGCTCCACGTGGGCCCAGCACCAGACTGCCAACTGGGATGATCGAAAATGGTTCCGGCGCTGCGTTTTGTGTATCTAGTGAAATACTCATACGAGACCACATAAAATCAATAAGAGACACGCTCTTCCTTGGCTTTCAATCTAGATCTAGCAAAGTAAAACCTGCGGCTCGCGCAGTCTACTCAGAGACTCCGAAGCTTAGTAGAATGCAGTAAATATTACAAGTTAGCCCGTTACAGCATAGGCCCGGCAAGCGAGTCGTATGCTCCTCGCAGGATACGGAAGTTAACAATTCCTCAGGCGGAGGTCTGACACCCATGGTTCCATCCCCATCATTTCGTCCTCCGTGACTACTACCAATTTCTTGCACGAAGTAATCCAGGGTCTTTCCTGCAGTCTATCTCTTCGCGCCAATATTGTACGCCGTACATTGTCTCTTCGCGCCAGTTGCTTCCGAATTCAGTCTCCCAGATTTCCGCAAGTTCTTCGGCGACTTCCTTACTGATGTCACGCCAGTCACCCTTCTTTGTCTCCTTGTTGTGCCTCGCGAGTGTTGTAATATCGAAACGGTGTCCGGCCCAGACGCCTCTTCGTATGTTCTTGGATTCCATGCCAATGGTGGTGCCGTCGGCGGTCCAGCATATGCGAGACACGAGGACTTCTCCGAAACCGATATAATCGATGTGAGGGCCATGAATGTGCTCTGGTTCCAGTGCAATCGCTTCTGACCGTACGTATTCCTTTGTCGTCAAGTTCCGAAGGATCCAGGGTTGGTCGTCGGGGTAGAACGAACGAAGATCCGGTCGAGCCTCGGCGAGCACACATGAAGCGTAAGACCCAAGTTGCCGCAGAGATGATGCTGTGTCGGGGTGCTTGAGCTGGCGATAGAAGGTATCAGGGACACGGACACGGACGACTTGGTTAAATCCCTCACACTCCTGGAATTCCCAGAGGGTCATCTCGTCGAGCTGTTCGCGATTTCTAACTCTCTCGTCGTCGGTATACATGGCTGGAGGATAATCTCCAACGTGTACGCCCTCGCCTACGCAGACAATGCGCTCGCCGGCCCAGGTGCCCAGGTGTGACATGATGTAGTCTCGGATGCGCCCCAGGCCAATGTTCCAGAAATAACGATTCGAGATGCAAAGGTTGAAGACATCTTCCATGTCGAGGTGGTCGATGATGAGGTCGTGCAACTCGGTTGGGAGGGTATGAATGCCGGTCCGCTTGCGCTCTTGAAGCTGACTGCCACGCTGCACTTTGGGTCTTTTCCAATCTCGGGCAGGCTGCTCCTCGAGGTTTTCATGCTTGCGCTTCGCGGATGGACGACCGGGAGACAGGCGGCCGTGGCTGGATTGCCGGGATTTGTCATCATCGTCAGCCACAGGCATGTCGGAAAGAGAAACAATGGACTTACGTAGAGTAGTAGTGCGCGGGCGGGACTGGTACAGCAAGTAGCTTCACAAGGCCCCCCGCCGAACCATTGAAGAGAATATCGCTAATGGTTCCGAACTGGTCCACAAACTCGTAGAAATCGGGAGCCATGAAGACAAAAAACTGACACATCCTGGAGAAGACGCTAAAGTTACCGGAAGCAGGGAGGGGTCGTTCGTTCGCCGCGGGGTGTTGCGAAGGTGGCAAAAGGGCGACGAGAGCGCGTTGGTGTGTGGAGCAGAAACGGGGCGGAAGCGCGACGAGAGCGCGTGCCCGCGCGCGACGTGTTACCTAGGTAGGCAGGAGGCAGGTAACAGCTCTGCCGGCCCCAAGGTTGCGCCGCCGCCCCGAGGTTGAACCGGGACAGCCCCGAAGATTTGGCGCTTAGCGGCCGACTCGACTTTCCCGGTCGCGTCTGCACGGTCGCGTCATTTATATTACACTCTCCATCAACGACTGGACCCTGCCTCCCGACACCAACTCCACTCGAGCGCGCCGATCCGCGCAACCCGCAGGCTTGCGTCCAAACTTCCTCCCCGCCTAACTATGGCGCCGTTCAACGAGCGTCAGCTGGAAATTATCAACCAGCATCCTCTCAAGAGCGTTCTCGACGCGTTCCGCACCACCTTCAAGTCCACCCACCCCCGCATGAGCTCGCATAATGTCGAAGCTTTCGAAAAGATCGTCAGCGATGACTGTAAGCGTGACCACACCCGCAATACTAGATGAAGCGCTAACGCCATCCCCACGTAGTAGTTGGGAGAACCCAGGTGCTCCAGCTGGTGAACACACTCATGACGCATCCCACCGCCACTCTTCTACCGGCCTACGGTAAGGATAATGGCGCCCTTGTGGGCGATATGGGAACCCTCTACGGGCAACTTGCCTCCGGTGTGTCGGACATCAAGCACACCGCCCGGCTCCTCCAGAACGTCATAGCCGACGAGGACGACGCTACAATCTGGGCGACCGCGTACAAGCTCATCGGCGATACGAAGCCGCCTCACTCTCCCATCTCCTCGCATCGACCGACGTATCCAAAGACGCCTCCTCGATCCGCACCTACGCGTTCATTTAAGGAAACGCCCACCAACTTCCACTCGGGCAGCACCGTCGGCACATCCGAACAGAGGAAGGATATAGACCCTCTTCTCAATAACGAGGTGCGGAGGAATCTCATCTCCAATCACCCAGGCATCTTCGACGCATTTTACGGCCGGGTTTCGCATCTCGAAGATGTTGCTAACGCAGTCTTTGACGCCTGCAAAAGCTCGGATCCTCCCAGGTTCGTTGAGGGTACTGGTTGGACGGATTGGTCATCGACCTGTTCTGAAGATGAGGTTCTGAGCTTCTTGAAAAGCCTACTGGACCACTTCTTGGTAGTTGCAAAAGACCGTGGCTTTCAACCAGCCAAGCGTCGATCCCTCATTGCCAGACCGAACGAAGCCCTTCGCGGCACCACCGACAAACCGGAAACTTGACGTCGGGATCATGACCGGCACCGCTAGCGATTCGGAACCCGTGTGGTGGTCGAATATCCTCATAGCCGGCGAGCTGAAGAGCAACCGCGGCAGAAGTACTTCACTTCAGGTTAGTTACGACATTGCAAAGTATGCACGGGAGGTCCTCTCATCGCAAGACACACGACGTTTTGCTCTGGGCTTCACGCTGTGTGGATCACTCATGCGGCTATGGGAGTTCGACCGGCTCGGCTGTGTGGGTTCCACTTTCTTTGACATTCAAACCGAAGGGCAAAGATTCGTGTCCGTAGTCCTTGGTTGGCTCTGGATGAACGATCAAGACCTCGGCTTCGACCCAACCATATCGAAACACGACGACGGCACCAAGTACCTGGACATTCAGCGGAGCGGCAGGTCGGAGCGGATCAGACTCGAGAGAACCATGATCAGGCAGCGCGTCATCGCCGGTCGGGCGACCACGTGTTGGGAGGGACGGATCGAGGGCGACAGCGATGACAACAGCGACGGCGGCAGTGACGGCTCCCCCCAACGAGTCGTCGTGAAGGACTCGTGGGAATACGAAGACCGCCCGGAAGAAGGCCCGCTGCTGGAAGATGCCACCGCTGCCGGCGTCGACCATATAGCACGTCATTACCACCACGAGACGGTACACGTGGGAGGGATTCCCGACGACGTGATCGGCAACATTCGCAAAGAGCTTGGTCCTGGAGGGCGAAGCGATTCCAAGTCTCACGACTCACAAGTAACCGCCATCCTTACTGGCAGCTCCAGTCAACCGCAGAACAGGGGTGACAGCCGAGCTAGCAACAAATCGCTGAAAAGGTCCTCGGACCAAACGACGACGTCGCAGTCTTCGAAGCGGCCACGTTTAGACCGACCGCCGAACCGGGTTCATCGCCGCGTGGTCATGCAGGACGTTGGAAAAGACCTTTACCGTGCCAGCAGTCTGAGGGCTATGTTGACGGGACTTATCGGTGGTCTTAAAGGACACGAATCCTTGTTGGTCAAGGCCGGCATCCTTCACCGCGATATCTCCATCGGTAACGTCATGTTGAACGATGCCGAGGACGATGGCTTCCTAATCGACCTCGACCTGGCCATTAAAATGGACCGTGAGGAGGCTTCCGGAGCTCCGAGCAAGACAGGCACCAAGGTGTTCATGGCCGTAGGCCCTTTGTACGGCGAGCCCCACCTTGGCGTGCACGATAAAGAGTCGTTTTTCTGGTTACTGTTCTGGATCGGTGTTCACTGGAACGGGCCCGAGGAAAGTGCTACCAGGTCAGATGAGTACGACGCGTGGAACGGCGAGTCAACAAACAGGCTAGGGATGGTGAAGAATTCCTTAGCGACTGAGGTAGCCAAGTTCAGGGAGCGCCTGGAGGTGGCCTTTACTCCGTTTTGTCGGCCGCTGATCCCTTTTCTGGAGGAGCTACGCGCCGTCGTCTTTCCCGATAAGGAAAGACGTAAGGTCGAGGATCCAGAGCTATACGGGCAGATGGTGTCAGTGCTGGAGAAGGCGAAGGAACGTGTGTAATTCGGGGCAGTAAAATGCCATATTGATACACAGCGGATTTTCAGGTGCACCTTGAGTTGGAGGTACTTGTACAAAGACTCACCCATGGTGGGCGTCCTGGTTGATGCTGCGGTGGCAGCATGCTTGATCCGAAGGTTCTCGTCGCATTCGATGGCTCCGGTGGCGAGAAGGGCTGGGTAGGCAATGCATGTAAGAAATGTAGTGATTGAAGATCAATGAGGCCAAATGTGACCCGAGACATCTCCAGCGATAAATCTCTGGCCCTTCACGTTCGTTAAGTGCAGGTTGTCTCGATCAGCACTGGCTAAAATCCATACGTATTCGATCTACTGTGTCACCTACAAAACCCAAAGCTCAATGATAGTGGTCTAGAGAAACCGACCGGGCTTGCTCAACCAGCCATCCATGTAGTCAAAAGTAGTCTTAACCGTGTCACCAAACTCGCCCGGGTACGACTCGCACTCGGTGCACGTGTCAATGGTATGCTGGGCGCCCTCGACAAAAGCAATGTCTGTGTCGTTACTGGCGGTAGCGGCCAGGTGGGCCTTCTCGATGGCGATCATCTCGTAGTGACCGGTGTTGCCCATGGTCAGCAGGGGCACGTGGATGCCCTGCACGGCGCTGATGGGCGTCAGCTGCGACGAATTCCAGACGACGCCCGTCACGCCGTCCGCGTGGTAGGCGTAGTTGGCCGTCGTCGTCACGGCGAGGGTGGCGAGGAACCGCTTGATTGTCGTCTTCAAAGCGCCGGACAGGAACTGGTTGGCGACAGAAGGCGAGGTGGAGACCACCCGGACGGACGGCACTATCTGAGTCGTGTAGCTGCCGTTTTTGTGCAGCAGCTTCCAAGGGTGGGTGGTGTGGTGGAGGTAGTTCAGATCCTGGTGCAATGTGAGCCGCTTGTTGCGAGATCGGTTGTCAAAGCACACTTACTTGGTTAAAGAACTTGTTGTTGGTATATCCGTACGAGGCATCGGGAATGTAGAAGGGCTCATCGTCAGCGAACAGCCCCGAGCCGTTGTTGATGGCCGCCAGGCGTTCCTGGGCATAGTTGATGAGGCGCGTGTTGCGAGCATTAACGCCGGCGGCAAACTGCTTTGCAAACGCCACGCTGTAGTTGGACACTCCAGTGCTGCTCCAGCCGTTGGTGGTACTGTATAGGTCTAGGGATTGGTCGACCAGCATGCCCGTGCTCTCGTTCTCAATGGCTGGGTTGAGGGACATGAGCACCATCGGCGCGATGCCAAAGTTGGCGTCGTCCAAGATGACGCCGTCGGCGGCGGGAAGGTCGGCCAGGGCACTGGAGCATGGATAAAGCTTCTCAGACCCATTGCAAGCCGTCAGTCCGTTCTCGGCAACGTTTTGGTATTGAGACAGCAGCGCGCCGCCGCCACTATGACCAAAAAGAACGATCTTTTTGATGTCGGTGAGATTGCGCAGGTAGGCCACGGCATAGCCGGCGTCGAGCATCACATCCTCGAAGTTGATGGTGCCCATGTTCGGATCCTTGCTCTCTTCGTTGTTGGCACACAAGACAGTGTAGCCACGCTTGGGCAGCTCGGTACAGGGATAGAAGGACAAGTAGTCGCTCTCGGCGTGCATGACCATGACGGCTATGGCTGCCTTGTCGGGGTCGCCTCCAGGTGCCGGGCGGTGGAGCGCGCCCACAACACCGCTCATGCTCGCTAGGTCGATGGCGGTGGGCGCCGGCAAGACTGCCGAGCTGGACGTTGTCGCGCCGAGCACGCTGTGGGCGCCCATGGCAGCCAGTGAAGCCAGCGAGATGGTCGAGCGAAGCATGATGAGTCTTTGTTTCTGGATCAAGAACGAACGATAGCAGAGGCCACTCGCACTGGAGTTGGTAGTCAGCTCTGGTAGCACCTGTGAGGTGGCGTTTTAAGGCTGATTGTAGTTTGTACTGGTTGTAGCAAGCAGGGCGATCGTCGAGAGCTACTACCTTGCTGCGAGGGCAGATCCACCTGCGATACACGGACGGGACTCGTAATCCTGCGTCATGATTGGGTCGGAAAACCGGGGGGGACGCCAATCTGCTGCCAGGCCATCGCTGATCTTCGTCGGTCATTTCCTGACTGCTTCTCCCCATGCTCGGTCTTCGACTATCACCGGTATACCCGAGCTCACCACACCCGCTGTCATATGATTTTGCTCCCAACGCGAACTAAAACAGTAACGACTCGGATTATCTGTGGTGGAAACTAGGTGCTTGGCCACGAACCGAACGACTGTCCGTCATGTACCGCGCGTTTCGCCACGTCATGTTGTGACGACTTCTTTCCCAGCTTCCTCAACACCATGTTACTCTTACCACCAGCTCGGTGGCGAGAAGTCACTTCTAAGCCTCTGATTCACTACTGATTCAATAGCACCTCCGCGTAATCAAAGTCTAGACGCATGGTAAGGATACTGCAGCCTGTGTTGCAAGTGACAAGGACATGTGCCGCACACCCGCCTCGCCAAAGCTTTTAGATTAATGATGCTGACGTGGCTGAAGTATCGCCGTTGTGGACTGCTCACGCTTTTCCGATCGGATTAAAACTTACTCTCATCGCTCCGAGTACGAGGAAATAACACATGGTTTTGCAATAATATAAGTTCCTTGCAAGCCTTAGGCAAGATGTACCTCGAACAGCGCCAATAGAGCGTTCGCCAAGTTGCTGTCGAGCCGGACTCTTGAGATCAGGATAGGAATCGTAGGAGTGAAATTGATAGAGATTTATTACTCTACGTCGTTTCTTATTTTCTAATAAACCTAGGCTTCTTCTTCTCATTAACTCCCCGCCGAATCACGACATTTTTAAGGGTAACCTCAACAGCAGATCTACGTCCCTTCTAACTCACCTAGTCTTTCTCCTCAACCGTTCAGCCACCATCTACGCCATACACCAACAATAGCAAGCTACTCCACTTCCACATTACCAACGATCCTAGAGCCCCTCTCCTACTCATCGCAATGGACGCGACTAGAAGTACCAACGCAAGGAGCCCCAGCGCTACCGGTAAAGCAAACCACCATTAATTTCACCTCCACAAACGTTTCCTAACACACATCATCCCCGAAAATCTCTTTGAGGCCAAGTGAGCCCTTAAGTAGTCCGTTATAATATTTATGATACGTTCGAACGTCCCAGGAAGATCCTTATTGACCATCAAATCCTCCGCAAGATGCGGATATAAAGGTCCCTGGCTCATTCCGTGATAGCGAGGTCGACCTGATAAGTCAAGCAACTTGACGTGCAGCCCCATGCTCATCTGGCTGCAGTACGGAGAATTCGAGATGACGGTGGAAGAGCAACCGTACGTGCTGCAGCTCTCCAAATACGGGTCAGTACAGGATCGCTCACGGGACTGGCGTACCGACGTTCGTGCGAAGATTAATCTCTTTTCCTGCATGCAGATAGCCATGCTCGACATTGACGGGTTCTGGCTTGATAAAGGTTTCCACATCACTACAGATGCACTGGCCGATTGTTCCGGTTTCCAGACACATTGTTCACGCAAATACGACAAAGAGAACTTCCTTGTCTTGGGAGAACTTATTGAAAGTAAGTTTGTGATGGCTGTCTACGTCGGCCGTGGGAAGAAGCAACCCGACAACTATTGGCAGAACAGCACCGAGGCCTTTTCCGCTTCGAACGCCGGCGACCCGGAATACTTTATCCGCGGCAACGGATACAGCTCGCTTGGCGGGTCCAACTTCGCATACGACACCTAGTATGCTTCAGCTTGGTCCAGCTTTTGGGCCTCGACGGCCTCTATCCAATCGGCACTATGGATATCGTCAGCCTCTGGGAACACCACCTGGTGTAGAATGACATGGTGAATGTGGATACCGGCATCTTTTATCCACGGTACAGCCGCACCCAGATGAGCTCGTCACGCGTGTGGCAGGTCCACGGTTGTTACAACATCGGCCACTACCTATACGCCGACATGCCCCTCAACCGATTGCAGAGAGGGTGCCACGATGACTTGGTCAGCCTGGACCACAAAGACCCACTCCACCTAGTTCCAAACGTGCTCAAGCGCATGTAAGAGCTTCGGCAGCAGTACCCAGCGCTGAACGACGGGTTCTTGCTGGAGACATTGGGACGGCAGACGTTCGAGTTCTGGCTTCCAACGGTAGATCACTACACAGCCAGAGGCATCGTTAGCGTCCACCGAGGCTTGCTCGAAAGTGTGCAAAACTTCAGTGGCGCCGCAATTGGAGAGCGAAGCGTCTGGCTTGTTTTCACCAACGAGCATTTCCTCAAGGAATTCCGGTCTGACTACAACAGCAAGACAGCCGCGCGGTTCGATGAGCAGCTCCTGTCGTCAGTGCCACCCGGACTGCAGCAAACGGTGCCCATCGAGTATTGAAGTACTTCGTACCAATGATGTAATATCACGGGTTCAACCTTCACTTCTGGGTATATAATAGCACAACCCCTGTGGTTTAGTTCAATAGCCAATCCTCCTTCTTCACCCTATGTCATGTGGTTCCTTGGACTTCAGCATCGAGATGCACTTTTCCCAGCCAATGGACTGTGCGTCGGTTGCACGCAGCCTGGAGCTCGAATCGACGACGGTAGGCGGGAGTTCGGCGCAGCTCAAAGAGGCGAGTTTTTCGTGCAGAGCCGACGAGGGAGAATAGCAGGCAGTTGGCGCCGCAGTGGCCAGCATGTGCAGGTCATGCTTCGGATGTTGAAGTATTTCGTACTGTACTCCATGATTTCATATCACGGGGTCAATCTTCACTGAAAAGAGTGTATATATCTTCAGCCGTGCCTGTCGATCCATCCGAACGCCTCCCATCTGAAGACCGCCAAAACGTCCTGCTACATCGGCTAAGGAGCTGGCCGCTCTACAGCCTCATAATTTCCATGGTAAGCCTGCGGTTTGACAACTCTATGCATGCACGGGCGCGCTGATTATAACAGGGGCAAATCTTCTCCGTGGACGCATACCAGATGACACTACCAACCTGAAGAACAACTAAAACAGCGGCTAATATATATACTACATCCTCGATCGTCCTTATCGGCTTAGTATCTTAGTGGCAGCTGCTCCGTTTGGCAAACACGGTGTAATTCATCTCTCTTCCGTTCCTGTTCTTCGGCCTGTCTTTCTTCCTCTTCACAGAAGCGCTGCAAATGAGCGCTTCGCCAGCTGCTTTGTGGATCCAGACTACCGCTCTTGCCGCGTATACGTTTTGTTCAGCCTGTGGGGCCATGTTCTTCTCGCTGAATTTTGGCACTGAAGATCATCCGCACCGTTGGCGTGGAGAGTGCTCATATCCGGAAGACGCAGGTGGCGTGCAGACTTGGACGCGGTTGTCACGCGCGACCACTGTCCAGGGCATTCAACAGCCCTACTTTTCCTTTATATCTCTATGCGGTTTACGTGCGATGAATAGCACGCCAAACTCAAGGATGATGGCCGGAGGCTGGGCTACCATCACCTTTCCGGCTGCAATGGCTATTTGGGGCATCGGTCTAATGCTCTATCTACGGCTTTCGACTGCTACCGTCCAAGCCTCGGAGATTTCGGCTTTCTACCGCGGGCTTCTAAGCCGGCGTGGTGTTCTGGTTCCTGGCCACCGTGGTGGTCCGCAACTTCTACCTGTCCGGCACGTACCGCCGAAACAGGCGCTTCCTGTTGTCTTTTCGTGTCGCCCCGAGCTGGGCCATCGTATTACTCGTCTGTTCCTTCTTTGCTGTCCTCCGGGTCACTCTCTTGCGCTTCTTCTTTCACAAGTCCCGCGAACACCCCTGCATTCTGCCCATCTTCATCATCGGGCTTGGCGCTCCGCGCTGGGCACAGATGCTCTGGGCCCTCTCGTAGACCGGCCACTACCTTCCGTGTGTGGCCGAGCCCGCTGCCACAGGGCCGCTGGTCAGCAGCTCATTTTGGCTCCGGCTCGGCGTCTTGGACTCGATCCAAGGATTAGGTTTTGGCATGGTTCTCCCGAGTACCTGCACACGGGTTTATATCGTATATGTCCTCGTTACGGCGCCAGTCCTCGGCGTGCCAAGTACAGCCGTAGCTAGAGAGTCCACTCCGAATAAGACCGGTCCAGATGTTGTATCTCCCAATCTCCCCTTAGCCGCCTGGGAAGGTCTTAGTGATGCGGGGTTGAGAGGCACTTACGTAACGGGCCATCTAAAATAAGTAGTGTTCAACATAAAGTACCCCACACGAATCTTATTGCCAGCGCGTGTCCGGAATCTACGGGTGAAAGGAGGAGATATGTTTCTGTGTTTGCCGACGGGGTGGATCACTTCGCGGACCAGGCAATTGCGGTCGGCCGCATCGCCAGCAAGAAATAAATCACGGTCTATGCCGCAGATTTGTCAGGCGTGGGTGACTGGAGGAACTATCAGTCGTTTTACCTCTTTAAGCCGAGGAGTAATTGCGTGTATCAAGCAGAAGGAAACCGAGAAAGGGACAGTGTATAACGGTAGACCATTGAATACGTATGTACATTCATCTGACTCCCTCGGAAGCCGGTATACGTGTTCCACCTTACGTCGACATTTTGAACCATCTACCATTGTGAAGGAGAATATCTACTTTCCAAAGCCACCGGCGCTAGCTTTCAGACAAGGAAAAGCGTCTGTGCCGCCAGACGCTGAACAAAGTGCTTCAATGGGGAGCAACACTGAGCATTAACACCACCAATTCTCTCAGACAACTGGCCATGTTCGAATTGGGTCTGATTGCGGGTGACTAGAGGCAGTAATAGTCCACTAATCGGTCTCCTTCTCCTTAATATTACAATGACTATAACAATAGCGTCTTTCCAGTCCTCAGACTCTTCAAAAGTGCTACATTTTATGACGCCATTCCAGAGGATATCAGGGAGGCCTTCGAACCTGACTCTAACATTGGTATCGGGTGGTAAAATCATTTCCTTTTGTCGCGTCCGAAAGGCCGCTCGCGGCTTCTTGTCGATTATAAAAGCGGCTAGTGTGCCTCGAGTTGCAGATGATGAGTCTTCCTCGTGCTGTCGCTTTCGAGCTATAACTGGGAACAGAGAAAAAGAGGGGCTTGAAACTCTGGATGTGCTCTATCATCGGGTGGACTTCAACCGCACCCAAACATGTCTTCATCGAATCTGGGCAGGCACCTGGTAATCAGGGCTTGCAGGACAGGGTCTGCAATCTGCATCTCGAAGCGTTCCACCGGTGAAGAAGGTGACAGGACCTTCGCATGCAGCCCATGGCCCTGTGGGTGCAGGGAGTCGAGTGGACTTTCTTGATGGCTCCATCTTGTTACCGAGTCAAAGCAAAGCCCAACACGTCCCGATCCGTGGCCAACTGGAAAAACCGCTCGATCGCCCCACGCACAATGACTCCGACATCCCCCACTCCCAGGCGCGGTAGTCAGCTATTACTGTTAGGCACCTATAGCGACCAAGCCGGGGGGCTGCGGGTGCGGCTCCGGAGATGGGTGGGATTGATTCAGCCCGGCGGCTGCAGGTTTTTCTTGGTGCTACCGCTGGGATGGTTTCGGGCGGGATTTGCGCGGAAGCCGGCATGGGTATGACGGCGGTCGGGGGGAGTGTCCCCGAGACACATGATGTGCGGGGTCCAATGTCTTAGGTAGTCAAACGCAGGGTGCTGCATGTGGGTACTAGACTGATTCGTGCGTCGCTGACGTGCTAGCACGGCAGGCCTGATTTACTCGGGGTTGAGCACGGTTGCCCGATGGGGAAACACGGTTGATCTGACACGGCGGGCCTGGTTTAGTCAGGGTCGAACATGGCCGCCTGATGGGGCGATTGATCTACACAGGCTCTGCAAAACACACGAATCGCGATACGTAATAAGACGAGCAGCAATCGGATCCCCACCGCCCTACGCTGCAAGGCAAATACGTGGTCGCGTTGCCCAGCGGCCAAAAAGACGCAGATTGAGCTACATAAAGGATACTCGATATGTTGGCAGCCTCATCAAACGCCAGCACCGGTCGGCTAAAGAGTTCAAGACCACCATGTCGGACGAATCCAAGCACACATTCGACGGAGATTCCGATGCACCCCGGATTTCTTTTCCGCTGCAGCCCGACACCAGTTCCGAAAAGGACGACGACAGGCAGACAGCTCCAGACCCTGAGATGGTGCCCGAGAAGTCATCAGAGCCGCCACGAGCCGCACCCCCACCCCCGGACGGCGGTTACGGCTGGGTCTGCGTGGCGTGCGTGGTGCTCATCAACGCCCACACCTGGGGGGTGAACTCGTCGTACGGCGTCTTCCTCGCCCACTACCTCTCGACCAACGCCTTCCCCGGCGCCACTCCCCTGCAGTTTGCCTTCGTGGGCGGCCTGTCCATCTCGTGCGCCATGCTTGTGTCTCCGCTGGCCACCCTGTCGACACGCCACTTCGGCACCCACGTCTCCCTCTCCGTCGGCATCGCCCTGCAGACGGCCGGCTTGATCGGCGCCTCCTTTGCCCGCGACATGTGGCAGCTGTTCCCCAGCCAGGGCGTCGCCTTCGGTCTTGGCATGGGCTTCCTCTTCGTGGCGTCGGTCGGCATCCCGCCGCAGTGGTTCACCAAGAAGAGGTCGCTCGCGAACGGCGTCGGGTCGTCCGGCTCCGGCTTCGGCGGGCTGGTGTACGCGCTGGCCACCGGGGCCATGATCAGGTCCCTTGGGCTGGCCTGGTGTTTCCGCGTGCTGGGGCTGGTGTCGTTTGGCGTTAATGTCGTCTGCACCGTCCTGATCCGCGATCGCAATAAGCTCATCGGGGCCCGGCACAAGGCCCTGGACCTGAAGCTGTTCAGGCGGCCCGAATACCTCCTGCTCAACGCGTACGGCTTCTTCTCCATGCTCGGCTACATCGCCCTGGTCTTTTCCCTGTCCAGCTACGGCCGCAGCATCGGCCTGACCGCCTCGCAGGCATCTGTTATCACCGCCGTCTTGAACCTGGGCCAGGGGCTGGGAAGGCCACCCATCGGATACTTCTCCGACAACGTCGGGCGGATCAACATGGCCGGGCTGACCGCCTTCCTGTGCGCCCTGTTCGCTCTGGTCATCTGGATCTTCGCCACGAGCTACGGCGTGCTCGTCTTCTACGCCCTGGTCGGCGGCGCCGTCGCCGGGTCCTTCTGGGCCACCATTGCTCCCGTCACCGCCGAGGTGATCGGCATGCAGGACCTTCCGTCTGCACTCAACCTCGAGTGGCTGGTCATCGTGCTGCCGTGCACCTTTAGCGAGCCCATAGCTCTCGAGCTGGCCGGGAGCGCCGGCGGCTACAGAGGCACCCAGCTCTTCGTTGGCTTCATGTACTTCGCCGCCGCCTTGTGCATGCTTCTCCTTCGCGGATGGAAGGTGGGCGAGCTCAACGAGGTCATGAAAATGGGGAACGGGGACGAACATGTCATGGACGCTGCAGATGTTGATTTGGCCAGACTAGCTGGGAGGCGTGCAATTTGGAAACAGTTCTGGAAATGGCGGAAGGTCTAGTGGCCGTGCAAGATTTGTATCATCATTGTCTACATTGAGTTCCCTTGGAGACTACAATCATTCAACAGACAGCAAAGCCACCCGAAATATAGAAAAAAGAGGACAGTCAGGAAAAGCCTAGGGCAGGAAATTGTCCGGGATGAAGAGGGTATGCAGCGGACGCACGCCCTTGCTGTCACCGGAAACAGAAAAGGACTCGGACATCATCGAAATAGAATCCAACATTGGCTCATCGTCGTAGTACTTGAGAATGTCACTGACGACGGACGGTCTTGAAGAAGACGCGAGAACGGTGAAGATGCCCGCTTCAGAGGCAATCTCTGCTGCACGCAGTTTGGTCGCCATTCCACCTGTCCCACTCGTCGAGCCGGGGCCGAGGTTGGACGAGTCGACTGGGCCGTATCATCAACACCAACTCCACACAGAAACAGCCGAAGGAGCTCTACTTACTGCGGTCTTTGAGCGAACTGATTGACGTGACGAAATGGATTCTCGAGGCGTTGACGTCGTATTTCGGATTACTTTCGTAGAGGGCATCGACGTCGGTGAGTAGGAAGAGATAAGAGGCGCGAATCATCACGGTTGTGATGGCTCCGAGGGTGTCGTTGTCTCCTATCTGGATTTCCTACATGGAGCATAGAGTGTCAGCCGCCGTTTCGGACTTCGGGCTCGTGGACTTGCCTTGGTGGATACCGTGTCATTTTCGTTCACGATGGGCACCACACCGATGGAGAGCAGCTCATTCAGTGTTCGAACGGCATTGTCGTAGCGTTCAGGCTATTTGGCAAGCAAAGTATCAGCCCTGAGCCCGCCACACACTTCTTGGATCGTACCGATGCGATGTCGTCATGCGTGAGCAGAACTTGGGCCACAGTGATGCCTCTCTGAGCGAAGACTTTGGACCACATCAAGATCATTTCAGCCTGCCCAATGGCCGAGAGTGCCTAAAAGCTCGAACGGTGAGTATCTTGACTGAACGACGCCGACGGGTCAGCTCACCTGCTTTCCAGACAGGTTGTCGGGACGCGATGCAAAGCCCATCTGCTGCAACCCAAACCCGACAGCTCCAGAGCTCACAAGGACTACTCTGCAGCCAGAGTCACGCAGCGCAGCAATGGTGGACGCTACATCCTGTACAAGCGAGTACCGTATGCTGTGAGTAGTCTCATCGATGATGGAAGAAGTGCCCAGTTTTATCACGACGGTACGAGACATATCGATTGCAATTGAAGGATAACGTTGATAGTCCAGAGCCGAACGCCGCAATACTCTCTTCTTAAATTGATTCTACTGCTTGCCACACATACAGTCTCCGTCCTCGACGACTCTTACAGAACAAGGTCCCAAGGCTACCGAGTAATGAAGTGCGTCAGGAGTCAGCGTAGGGCGGGTGATCCTCCGCCTCTTGCCGTGCATGGCTCAGCTTACGCCTCGTCGTACGTCCGCGGCGTTTCGGTCCAAAGAGCAGGGTGGAGGGATTGGCGGGTAATTCTCGTGTTTCGGAGCATGGACTTCTCACTACGTAAGCTATGGTAGGTAGTCCTCGACCGCGTATCTGGGTGATCCACAGCATGTGGTTGATGTTGCAAGCGCCTGACTCTGCCAGGCGGAGCCGCTTTGGCGCCTGAGCTAAGGTGCCGATCACGTCTTACAGTTACGAGCTGACGATCGAGACTTTCTCATTTGCATCTAGCCTTCTATTGATGTCATCCTCTGAGCAACTATCGCAAGGATCCCGCATGAACTCCGAGACTCCATGCTGCGCACCCAGTCCGGTTCCGGATCTCTGTTGCCCCGCTTCTGTGAAACACCCCGCAGGGTGGGCGGCGTGGGAGGCTTGGAGCTGACGCGGGGGCACTAGTGGGGCTTTCACAGGAACAGGAACGTCGACCCGGGGGCTGAGCGTCGGCCTGAAGCTCCAGACTGAGCCGCAGATTTGCCTGTACGACGGCATGTTTAAGCACAGCAGTGTCGTAGAGAGGTCTGTGAATGGTATAAAAAAGCCTGTCGTTTCCTTGGAGGCCCTCATCACAGTGCTTCATCAAGCCGGCTATTTCACCCGAACCCTTGTCCAACAAAGCTCAACCACCCACGACGTCATGGCGCTCGAAGGCAGCTGCTGCTGTGGTGCGGTCCGCATCAAGTCCACCGGCGAGATCCAGGCCAAGGTGCGAGGTAAATGAACACACCACCTCTGGCAGTGACTGACACGACACAGGCCCTTTGCCACTGTCTCGACTGCCGCAAAATCACCGGCTCCACTTACTCGACCAACATCATCGTTGCGGGCGATGGCTTCTCTGTCACGCAGGGCACGCCCAAGCAGTTCTCCAAGACGGCCGACAGTGGCAAGACCATCACGTCCAATTTCTGCGGCGACTGCGGCTCGACGCTCTGGCGCCAGAGCCCCGCTTTTGGCGATGCCAGGATCATCAAGGCCGGCACGCTGGACAGTCCCGGCGCCATTGAGATTGCGAAGCCGGCAGCTGAACTGTTCACCACTCAGCGGGTTCCTTGGGTGTCGGCCATTGCCGGGACCGAGCAAAAGGTGGCTCAGTAGATAGCTGACGTGATGCCCAAGGGTTGGACCCGGTATACTGGCAGGCAATGTGAATCATGTTGAAGAGTCGTCTTTCCAGACCTGTTGTTGAGAAAATGTGATTATTGCTATGTGACAGACAAGGCTCCGGTGGCGGGGCGCCTGATGACCCCGGTGCGGCATGTCCCGACAACCATAGGCCGGGTTGGTGGCTTGTGAAATCGAGCGAGCAGCGCTTCGCATCCTGTGACTTTCCCATGGAATTTCGCCATCCCTCCCCGTTATGGCATTGCCGAGGCGCTAACTGTTACAAGAACCCTATGACCACTAAGCGACTCGTGGCGTTCTCTTGTCCCCACCCCTCGTATCAGACCCCGTTTCGCCACTGGCCCAGATCTTCGGAATCGGTTCACATCAGCTGGTTCTCAAACGGTACCCGGCCATCACGACCACCCTTGAATGTGTTCGTGTGATGGTGACTTTGCCTTTTTTTTTTTTTTTTTTTTTTTGGAAAACCACGTTCTTATCCTCGCAGTGGACCACGCGAGCTTCTTGGCGGCTTGAGAAAGATTACACGACCACGGTACCACGCTGCAAACAGCGTCCGAATTCTTGATCAGACAGCCACAGTGGTCACTGCTGAAGTCCGAGGAATCACGTCACGTAAGACGAGGAGAATGAAGATGAGAATTGCTTATTGAACTGACTGAAGGTTAGCTGAAGATATATACAGGCTCTGCAATGAAGGTTGAGCCCGTGATATGACATCATAGAGTACAAAGTACGAAATACTTCAACAGTCACATAGACGCGGGAATGAACAGCTCGATGAGAATAAGCGCTCAATTTGATCAACAATAACGAGCTAGCTCTATCTCTACCCATCCCAAAAACTCCCAACCGCGGTTGCTAGAAGAGAAAAACGACAGAAAAAGAGAGTGTTCCCATCCCTTCCGTGCATGTGTGCATACAGTGACAGTCATACCAAAAGCCAATACAGCAGGCAGCGCGCCGTCTCCCAGGCTTTTCTTACCCGTCTCATCAATAGATCAGGACGACCCCAACGTCCTTACGTGTCCTTGGAGCTGATCCAAGCCTCCAGAGCAGCCGGGTCGCGGCAGTGGAACTTGATGCCGGCGGACCACGGAATGGCCTGCGCCTCGGTGGGCGTGGCCGTGTCGGCCAAGGCGTCCATCTCGAGCGAGCACTCACGCTCCGCACGGAACGGCGGGAAGACGTGCTTCCTCTGCTCCTCAGCGAGCGGCTGCCGCTCCCAGGTGAAGAAGTGCAGCAGCAGCACGAGCGTCGAGTAGAGGCCGCGGTTGGCCACTGGAAGGGCAGGGTCAGCGCTGTCGGTCTACATATGCGCCGGCTGGCACGCCGTCGGCTGGAAAAAGGAAAAACTTACTGTCGATGCCGGGGCACACGCGGCGGCCGGCGCCGTAGGTCAGGTGGGTGACGCCGAGCTTGTCGCCGCCCTCGCCCATCAGGTCGGTGCGGCCCTTGCGGCCGTTGAGCCAGCGCTCGGGGAGGTACTCATTCGGGCGGTCAAAGGCGACGGGGTCGCGGTTGCCGGCCATCAGGTTCATGATGACGAGCTAAAAGATGGAGAAGTCAGAGCTGTGCGTCCTGGGCATTGCGGAAAGTTGGCAAGAAAAAAAAAACACATACCATGCCGGGAGGGATCTCGTGGCCGTCGTAGCTGGCGCCGTCAAGTGTCTCGCGCGGGAAGCCGAGACGCACGGGCGTGTAGATACGAGAGCCTTCGGTGTGCAGAGCTTTGACATACTCGACGCGGTCAAACTCATGGGGCAGGGGCGGCTCGCCGTTGTACACTTCGCGAATAGCCTCGTAGCCGTTCTGCTGCAGGTCTGGCCTGTTGGCGAGGTAGCCGATGATCCATGTGAGTGAGTAGCCAAGGTTGACGCCCGCAGCAACTGTTGACCGGTCGTGGTTAGATGACACACACAATCCAGCAGAAGGATGGTTAGGGAGCACATACTGCCGGTGTAGGAAGCCAGGAGGATTTCCTCGTCTTTCAGAAGGCCCTGGCGGAGGATGTTGCCCAGGATGGAGGGAGTCTGGTCGCCGGCTTCGACGCGGGCCCGGAGGCCGTCGAGCATCTTACTGATGTATACTTGCTGTTTCCGGCGGTACTCGCGGGCCTTTTCCTCCTTCTCGTCGACGGTCCACTCCTTGATGCCCAGCATCTTGCCGGCTACATAGCGAAGCCAGCTGGCGCCGCGCATGATGGGGATGTAGTCCCGAGCGGGAGAGCCCACGGTGCGCTGACGGACTGGGTTGGAGAGTGAGTTCAAGCTGGCTTTATTTCTGCTAGTGATTGGGTTGCTTACAGATGTTTGTTTCGTTCTCGGCGAGCATGCCCACCATGTCGTCGTCCAGGGGGGTTCCCATGAGCTGCTCAGAGACCTGGCCGGTGCCGAAACGGTGGAGCTTCTCAGCCATGTCCACAGAAGGACCCTTGCTGATCTCAAGGATGTCACCAAACAGCTTCTTAAGCTTGGGGTGAATGACGGGCGTGTAGACAGGCAGCAGACGAGGGGCAATCTGGGCAGAGAGCGCCTTGCGAGTGCGAACGAGGCGGTCGCTGAAGGGCGAGGCTGTGCAAAGTCAGTGATTGTCAGGACAAACAAGACCTCACTGAGACTTACTGCCCACAGTCCAGATACCAGAGGACGCAAAATCGTTGTGGAAGAGCTTGAAGGTGGGCCGCGACTGGTATGCGGGTCCCTGCCGGACGACAGTCTTTGCCAGAGCCTTGTGGCTACTGACGAAGACGGCTTCACGCTGACCAAGTGAGACGCGGATCACATCGCCGTACTTGCCGGTCCACTCGTTGATTTTCTGGACGTGGCCACCGCTCAACTGAAGGAAGTGGTTAGAAAAGAGCCACACAGGATGGGATGAGGATGCCAAAGACTCACGTCAAAAAGATTACCAACGATAGGAAGGCCGGGAGGGCCAGGAAGAGTGACTGAATGAGGGGCGGCGCCCAGCAGACTGTCAAAGAACCAAAGAATTCGGAGGAGGATTTTGCGTCCAGCTTCAAAGCCGCTCATCAGGATAGCAGTGACGGCAACGGCAGCAGACGCATGGAGGACGCCCAGAGCGCGAGCGCCACTCACAAACTCTTGACTGACCTCGGCACCGGCCGCACCTGTGGCATTGAAGCCAGTGGAGGAATTGACAAAGGCGTTCATCTTGATGGATATGAAGGACGAGTTGGGGTTCTTGTCCCCCAAAGGACGGCGACCAGCACTCTATATATAAGAAACTCTCTGGTGGCTCTCCATCCGGTGGCAATGAGACATCCAGCTCTGCAGAGTCAACTTCATCCTTTGACTCGCGTTTGCCATCTGTGGATCCCACCCGGGCGCCTAAGCCATACAACTGACACACTCCTTGGTTAGGCCAGCTACGTTTGCTGCTTAGCATCACAGCGTACCAAGGCGTCATTGTGCAGACAGCCACTCAGCAAACGCGGGAGGGCGAACGGATGGTTTCGGCGTGGATACGAAGCGCGCTGAGGCCGGAAAGAGGCAGTGAGACGTACGCGGCCACGTTGGTGATGGCAGACGCCGTGGTCAAATTTTTCTTCGAGCTCGTCTTGGTTACAATCGACTGGCGCTCGAGTAATGTAGGCAGACTGCACTCCAATGGCCCAACAATCTACTTCACCATCGCTTCCATAGGATCATCCAATTACTCGCACCGACACGTGCAGCCGCGGGGGAGTTGCGGTTACCCTCTTCAACGAGGGTTCTGGACTCGGGTCGATCTAGCGTTCTTCCAGGCGATGCTAGCACAAATCAAGGCGACATGGGCCGTGTTACAGATAATGGCCTTCGTGCCGGGGCTTGGCTGAAGCACTGTACATCCATACTCTATCCATCGTAGCAGCCGCGCAACGCCGACCGGCGTGGCCAGAATCACGTCCAATTCCGTCTTCCTCGCGAGGCTGGCGATGTGTGGAGCGGTATGGTGACATCTGCTGCCTTACTCATGCTGACAGCCTTCCGTTTTGGGCGAGCGCTGAAGAGTTGTCGTCCAAGGGGTTTTTACCGCATCCCACGGTGCCCCCCCACGCCGTGACACCAAGTTTCCGGAGCCACTGAGTCACGGGCGCAAGGCTGCCCGCACGCGTAAACCCCCGCCCGGCCCGTTGCGCCGCCAAGCTCCTGGAACCCCGCACGATCCGAAGCGCCGCAAGGACCTCGATCCTGCCGCCCGCTAGCCGGATGCTTGTTTTCTCTTTAAGTCTCGACCCTTTGACGATTTGGACCTATTGTCTTGATGCACCCCGCCTGCTGCCCCTCCCACTACTACTCCAATACTCCTTTCCATCGAACGCATGTGACTTGGCTGATGCAGACCCCAGGGCCGAGTGCAGTAGCGGATCGTCCAGCAAGTGTCTTGTTGACCATGACATGTGGCCAGGTCGCAGCAGCAGGTCGTTCCGATTTCACCATCTCTTAGCGGGCCCACCAGCCAGCAGAAGGCCGCGCTCTACCACTCAAATCGAGGATGACATGAATCGGTCGCGGCTCAGAGCACGGCCGCCGTCGAGGAGCATGAAAGCCGAGCACGAGTCAGGCCAAAGGGAGGCTCCACATGGTCGGTGTCTCGGGCGTAGGCGAGCCGGATGCGCAGAGCCGGCTCGACTGCCAATTCCACGCCGACCAATCAGCGATTTTACAAAGCCCAGTGTGATGCGGAAATTGCCAAGGGAACGCAGGCATCGCGCTGTCACACGTCTGGGGCTCCACCGCGTTGTTTAAGCACACCGGCCGCTTCGCCGCTCAGGCCTCCAGCTGCGACCGTCGGTTAATCGTTCGTTTTCGGGGCCTGGAAAGCGTCCGCGGCTTACGTTGGACATGCAGTCGCCAAATAAGGCCTTCCGCCGTGTGAGCTGCATCCTGGAAAGTAGCTACTGCTCAGTATTAGGTCATACTCATGAGAGGCGTATTCTTGGCGACAGAATATTCCTTGCTGAATACTCGCTCCATTTGCTTTTGCTATTGATTCCATCCTTCAAAAGAACAGGCCAACATGTCCGAAATGGAAGCGAGCTACGCTTAATTTCAGGCCTCGATGGCGAGCTGCGCGACGTTCGCCACAAGGCTGAAGCTTGCTGGCCAGGGTACACGGCGCCGAGCTGAAAACAGAAAGCAAAGCCGCTCCCACCATGACTTCGGTGCCGATAGCGCCCACCCGTCAGCTCACCTCGAATGCCAGCCAGTGCAACGGGGCCTCGACCGCCACCCGGAGCGCCGGATTGAGGCTGAGAGCCGCCGACTGCGTGGGCCGCTCCACTTACGCTAATTTCGCCGCTTTCGTGCAGAACGGAGTTGCGGAGTGCAGAGGACATGCAGGACGAGAGAGCACGCGGCTGGACTGTGAGGTGGGGGAGCTGCTGCGACTTGGGGACAAAGGGAGTGGCCAAGTAATTGATTGACTCGCTGGTTGGGACAGCCAGCTTTATTGCCGGCTTTTCTTTCCTGTATCCTCTTGCTATTGTCGGCTTGTTCCCATCCCTGCATATGCCTAGCCGTGCTTTCCTTCTCTACCGAATTAACAGGCGAAGTGGAAGGAAAAAACACGCATATCACGAGCTACTTATTGCACCTGTCATGGCTTCTCTGGCGAGGCCTATGGAATCATGTGTGCGACGAGAGCGCTTTTTAGCTAAGCATAGGATGAAGCTCAGCATATTGATGGTACTCAAACTTAGCGCAACTGTTGTCTCCGCAACCGAAGGTCAATTTCAGGACAAGGAAGAGAGCCACGGGGAACTCGCCAACGCTTCCGTCGCCCAGGCCGGTGTTAATCACATCTTCTCTGCCATGACAAATGCCTTTGCCTAGCGACTTCTAGACACGTGCGAGGTCTGCCATCGGCCAGACCTTATCGTTTTGCCGGTGGGTCACGTGAAACGCGTTCCTCCCTAGCACTTGTTTGATCTAGTGAGGTTGTAAACTACTTTTCAACGTTTGTGCCGACATCCAATCTTTTTGAGTTTGTGAGGTTTCTACTATAGTAGGACGATGTCCCGTCGTGGGAATATTCCTGGAATGCTTTGGAGGCGGAATGATTCACTCATTTCTTTCCATCGCCAACTGCGCATTAGTATTGCCGGACTTTTTAAATCCAAATTATGGGCTGACGTAATGGAATCAACGTCGAAACATGTTGCGAAGCGCATGCCCAGATTTGATTGATTCGAATACTGAACAGCAGCAGAATTGCAAAAGGTAAACCCTTGACGAACTTCCTGCCTTCGGTATCAAAGGAGCTTACCCAGAGCCATGGACCACAGAGCGATACCAATTTCGAGATTTATGCCATGGCACAAACGGTGGGAAGGAATAGAGGCCTTCGGAAGAGTTTCTAGAATACTCGATTCCGACGTAAATGGCACTGAATGTATCAACAGGGAGGACAGACTCGCTCCGAGCTTCCAGATCATCATCTGAGGCAAAGAGCGGGATGGACGTAGCCTCATGGTCAATTTGTTCTTCTCTCACCCTCAGTTCGAAGAACTCCATCAGACGCCTCACGCTGCTGCCAGAGATGCCGTCCATCCTTCACGTCACGGCTTACATCGACGGTGGTGAGCAGTAGCACAGTGCACGCCAGGGAGGATGGAGTTCTGATGATGGCAACGCCGACGCCTAGCTTAGATGCCAGGCTGTCGATCTTCCGGCCTTAGACCTCACGATTAAAGCTCGTCCGAAGCATACGTCGTTTGTCTCCAGGAGACGAGGTACCAAAATCATCTTAGGACTGGTGGTCTTCTGTACTGTCGCCGGTTTTCATAGCACCTGGCTGACGCTCTGCTACTATATCCGCTTCCGGCAATATCAGGTACCCTCTTGTCGTGTGTGCTGCCTGGCACCGGCTGCCATCTTTGCGGGTGCATAGTGCCTCTTTTGAAAGGGACGACTTAGAACACTAGCTCTTATGGCCTAAGCCTTGTTTCTAGAACTCGTGCCATCATTTTACTCGTTACTACGAGTAAGGGATACCCGCGTGAATGAATGCCCGGGTGGGCGGGAACACCGCTCTCAGCGGGGCATCACCTTTGTTGAACACTTCTTCCTGCCGTAAATCGATTGCATTGCTCGCCATTTCCAGCTGAATTCTAATTGATTGGGCCGCGACGAGGCTGTATTCAACCGTCTTCAAAGGTCGGGACACGAGACCACTGCAGCTGCACCACCCTTTTCCATATCATTCACGCCCTCGGGGACGACTGATCGAGGGAATGGCAAGGAACTTGACTGTCGTGAGACTTAGGAGGATGACGACATTAGTAGACGAGTAGGGGTTTATTGAAGAAAGATGTACGCTACGGTTTAGGCAGTTGGGGCAAGCACTACCACTCGGTTAAGAGGTCCCGAAAGTCGGCAGCGGGGCTCTCTCTGTCAATACTGGACGTGCAGACTGATGGAAATGTCCAATCAGCGGAAAAATAGATCGAGAGCGGTACTCAATTCCAGTACACACAAGCTATCGACGACCGTTTCTCTATGCTCAGAGATCAGTCGGAGACAGAGCTGAGTACAAGAAATCTTTGACGCAGTGATAACAGGAATTTGCAGGCAGAATTCGGGCAGGATGATGGCGGTACTGCATGCACGATAAGCGAGCAGAAGGGCTAGATGGAGAGCGAGATGAAAGGCGAAGATTTATGGCGAACGATGGGGAGGGAAAAGATGGGGCAAGGCCGGTCCTGGTCTCAACTGATAAGAATCATGCACTTAACGAAGATGTATTACTACCTCCTAATAGATTTAATTGCCGACTCTTATTAAATCTACCGGATCTTTCTTGCACTGCATCTGTTTTTTACTGCCTTTTGGATATATCGTGACTTCTATCCGTATTTTTCTACCGGTTGAATATATCACTATCAACAATTCCCAATCTTGCAGGTCGTCTCCCTGTCTATGCCGGACATGGATTTTCTGGCTGCCTTGTCTAACAGCCCCGTAGAAGAGCTTCTTCTCTTTCGCCGTAGCTTCACGTATGCCATTAACCTTATGGCGTATACACTGTCTACACTTACAATGCAACCCCGTCTACTCCACCGACGCCATCTACATCGCCGCAGGTACCTATACGCCCCCGGAGTTTAGACGGTATCGAGTACGCCCGCATCATCAACCCTTTAATATCATTCACCCTGTGCAGCTTGTTTCTTTGCATGGTCTACCGTCGGGCGAGTTCGTCGCTCGAAGCCAGCCGTTGTCTCAAGGATGAAAGGGGGAGAGCAATTATTAGATGATAGAAGTGTTACGGCATAATAATTACTATATTTTAAGCTGATACCGGGTAGCTTCTTTTTTTTAGAAAGAAAAAAAAAAAACACCCACATGAGCTGTAGTATTTATCATGCTTTTATAAATACGAGTCTTGAATACTAGGATCCTTACAGTTCAACGCTTTGTGTAGGACGCGTGAAGAGACGTCCAGGAACTGCATTCTTTTCAAGACGCTCATACCCTTTGGGTATGTCGTCGAAATCGATTTCCTCCAAGTGCAGATTGAAGACACCAGCAGCAATGAGGTCAAGAACATCCTTCAACTCTTGAAAGGTGGCGCCCATGGATCCCTTTAGGGTAACGTATCGTGTGACCAACAAATGCGCAGGCACATTGATGGTGTCGGCCCCGAGCCCGACAAGGACGACGATGCCTCCTGGTTTGACGATGGAGACAGCATCTGCGGTGACGGAACCGCCGACAAAATCAACAATGGCGTCGAACGTGACGTGTTTGAAAGCAGAGAGACTGACGGCGCCGTCGACGGCACCGGCTCGTTTTGCTTCCTCAATCTTTTCGTTGTTGGTATCCACGGCGTAAACCTTGGCACCTTTTGCCAGCGCCGTAGCAAGTCCATTTGTACCGAGGCCACCGAGACCGACGATGGCGATGGTCGAATCTCGCGTGGCGTTGGCTTGCACGACGGCATGGTATCCGGTGGCGACCGAGTCCATGGCCACGGCTGCCTGCTCGAACGAGACTCCTTCGGGAATCTTGATGAGGCTCGTGACGTTAGCGACGACATACTCGGCAAAACCGCCATCGTAGCCCAGTCCGGGCGGACTGTCGGGACCGCCCTGCTGAGAGCGTTCGAAATAGTACCCGATGGCCACGCGGTCACCTGTCCGGACTGGTGAGGGAGAATGTCCAGGCCCGACCTTGACGACGATGCCGGCAACCTCGTGGCCGAGGGTAATGGGCTTTTTGGCGAGCCACGCTTCACCCTGTCCCTTTAGGATGTGGCAGTCGGAATGGCACAGTCCAGCAGCCTTGACTGCAACAAGGGCCTGCCCAGGACCGGGTTCCGGCACCGGGACTTGTTGGAGTTGCAGGCCTGCTGCAGGGGTGCTGTATCGAAAGGCCTTCATGGTCAATGGTATTTCTGAGGATGTGGCGGGAGTGTTGGAAAAAAGCTCCTGGGCCGAGATTGAGGTGTGAATATGTAGTCTTCTGCTTTTGGGTTAGGTATACGGCTATCGGCTATCGGCTACTACGTCCGGCACTCGGCTTTGCGGCAATCGGGATACGTTGGACCCGGCACTGCTGGTAGATGATCGTCCCTGTGTAGGTGGGGCTATCGCTGATGAATCCCATAAATACTTGGTGCGTCCCCTCGGATCAAAATACCAACCCAGCAAATCCCAAGCAAGACGACTCAAGATGCCCCGCGGAACATTAACCCTCCAGGGGGATCCTATTCCCGTGTCTGCTCCGCCGTACCCCACCTCCACAAACCAATTCTCGGGCATCACCGTCGTCACCATCGCTTACCGAGTCACGCTCGCAAGCATCCAACATCTCATTCCGGACATGCTCGAAGTCGAAGATGAGCCCCTTGTCCAGTCCATGTTTCTCGAATACGGAATGAGCACTGTCGGCGCCTACAACGAATTCGTCCACCTGGTCGAGGTCACGTACCAAGGAAGGAAGTACGACTTCCCCATCGTGCTCATCCTCGACAACGAGTCTGCCATCTTCGCCGGCAGGGAGGTTTTTGGCTATCCGAAGGTGTTCGGCCGTGTCGACATCAAGCGCTCGACCGGGAACGCCGTTCTCCTCGGAAGCGTGCAGCGCCCCATTGGCGAGGAAGCCGTCAGTTTCGAGTTTTTGCCGGAGCGACGGGCGGACGCGCCGCCGCCATCGCCATCGACAGCAGCAAAGCTTGTGTTGAACTTGCGCGTTATCCCTTCGGCCGTGCCGGGACAGCCGCCAGCCGTCCGGGAACTCGTTCCCGTGCAGATGGATATGGAGCTGAAAGATATCTGGTACGGAAAGGGTCGCGTGTCGTTCCCCAAGAAGTCGTTGATCAATCCGTGGGCAGATGCGGATATCATCAAGTACGAGGCGGCCTGGTTTGCAGAAGGGGTTTCGGCAGTGCTTCAAGATCCGGTGCAGACTTTTGTTATTTAATTGGTTGAACTTTTTGTGGGCCACTCTTTCAAGACCCGAGCCCTCTTCCCCCTTGGCATGCCTGCTCAAATTCAAGTCAGTTGAAACGATGAATGGCCCTTTGTTCACTGCCGAGATAACTCTCATCTTGACTTCTCACCTGTACATGTAATCCCTGCGTTACTTGCAATCTACCACGCGTCCGCCATCTACTTCTGTGCTTCTCACAACTCTCGAGTCTCGGCGATTGGTCGGTGCGGGAGTTGTTGATGCATCGGACTTGCGCTGTGAAGGGGGAGCGGTATGGGGATCGGGCGGGTGCTGGACCGGCTGTGGTGCAGAGAGGAATTAGTAAGAGAGGATGATCGACTTCGCGTAGGAGAGCGAAGACGGCGAGGCTGATCCCGAGCACGGTGATTGCCGAAAGAAGCAAATACAGGTTGGAACGGCCTTTCTCCATCAGTAGCTGAAGCAGAGAGCCGAATGTAGATGAGAAAGTACAAGTGCATCCGGATTCCGGAAAGGCAATTCCACTACGCCTACAGGTGGGTCAATTCTTTTCATCACCAGCTTTCTAGTGTCGATCATCGCTCGAAGCTGAGGCAAGCGCTGTTAGGCCGAGTTGTGGACTGCAGAGACAAAAGGGGTACGCGAGGTGGGTTGGTGACAATAAGGGTGTGTAGGGACGGGCGTAGCGAAGCACTTTATAAATTTTTGCCCCCTTTGGTTAGCACAGCTCGAGCAGCCCATGCTGGCAATCTCCCGATAACTGGAACAGGCTTAGCCCGCCAAGACGGCCTGCCAGATCACGTAAAGATGACACGGTCGAAGCTACCGATGGTGCCCCCTCCAAACGCAAGAAGGAGGTCGAGGCGGACCCCATGACGGCGGCGCTACGGCTCGCAAGCAGATCCGTATGCCGGCCTCCTCCAATTCGCATCTGTATGTGACAGACAGCATTGCTACATGGCACCGACAGCCTGGTTTAGCCCCGTCTTCGAGAACTATAGCTGGTGTCAGCGAATTCTTGAAGGCTATAGAGGAAGCAAGTAATCATTACCAATGGTAGCTCTTCGGCATGGTGAGAAAGTGGGACGCGGGTCTGATGAGCTTCTTCTGATGCAAAATTGAGAACCAGTGGTTCGAATAGCCCAAGGACTTGGTAGTCTAATGGAGGGTAGTAGAAAATAGGAAAAGAGGCCTTTCATATAGCTGATCTGACTAACGCGTGACGCGTAGCTATCCCAAACGACGAACGACGGCGTTGAGACAATTTATTTTCTGCCTGACCTAATTTCATCTATTCAAGTAGTTCTTAGATATGTAGACTATTCTAGTTCTTGAATACAATACCAGATTTCTCCAGAATTTGGTTGGACAGGTCGAGCAAGCCTTCCACATGGAAAAGGTCGGTCATCCTGAGCCTGGTGCGCAAGTCGGTAGCGACCCAGTTCATCAGCTCCATCATAGTCAAGCTATCAAGGCCGAGTTCGGCGGTGCTATTTGTGGAGCGGACGTGCTCGACGGGCACGAGCAACAGCGCCGCCACCTTCTTCGTCACGGCGTCGAAGAGCAGGTCGAGTGCCGTCTGCTTGTCGACCGCGTGGCGCAGCTCGGCGAACAATGAAGTCTCGCCGCCGTCGCCGTTGGTCAGGGAGTGTTGGTCCCGCCGCTCGGTCTGGGCCGATGACGACGGGCATCTCAATCGCAGCTTTGCCAGACGCGCGTCGTCTTTGCTTGGATGCATCTTTGCGTTGCTGCTGTCGCCACCGAAGCCGATGCCCATGATGCAGTTCGCGCCCACGCTGCCACGGATGGCGGTGGACAAGAGGGCTATTACGTCGGCGGACGTCACATACTCGCCCTCCAGACCTCCGATGCGGCGCAGTTGAGTCAGGTCGGCGCGTTCGGCAAGGTATCCGGCATCCAGGACGAATCCCAGGGCAAGTGAGGCGGCGGGCAGGCCCTGGCGTACGCGGAACTGGGCGAGTCCATCGAGGAAGGTGTTGGCTGATGAGTAGCCGATGTGACCCGGCATGCCAAGCACACCGGCAGTGGAGGAGAACATGATGAAGAAGTCCAGCTCAGGGGCGCTGCTGAGTGCACAGTGCAGGTTCCACGCGCCAGCGACTTTGGACTCACTCGCCGACTTGAATTCTTCGAAAGTCGTACTCTCGAACGGGGCACCCTGGGAGTCGATTGTCAGATGGATCAAACTTGATGGATATACGTGTCGCCAACCTTTGTTGAGACCATGGCCGCGTGGATGACACCACGGATCGGCCCGGTGCTCTCAGCACACTCGCTGATCACCGAGTTCACCTGAGTCTTGTTGGAGACATCGCAGGTCTTGACCTCGATGCGTGCTCCTGCTTCCTGCATGTCATGGATCAATCTCTCAACCTGGTCGTTGACCTTGGTGCCCCGAGACAGCAAGAAGATGTTGCGGGCTCCCAATCCAACCATCCACTGGGCAATGATGCGGCCCAAGCCTCCCGTGCCACCCACGATGATGTAGCAGCCGTCGGGCCTGAGGACAGGGGCGGGAGGCGTGGGCAAGGTAGCCTGTATCAAGATCAGCAACGGCAGACGGACGGGGAAGGCGAAGGGCAGGATATGCATACCTGGATCATGTCACTAGGCTTGTTGATGACTACGTGCTTGGTCGTAGCGGTGCCGGATGAGACATCACGGAGGGCGGCCGGTAGCTGGGAGAGAGGAATGATGGACAGTGTCGATGGGTCCGGACCGATGCGGTTCGACGCCACAAGCTCCATGACACGGGCCCAGACGTCTGCCATCAGGCGTGGTCGATTTGCAGCAACGACATCAATAGCAGCGTATGCAAAGGAGCAGTTGCCGCGGGCGCCGATAGGAGGCATCGTCAAGGTCCCATGGGAGTCGCCAAGCTGCACGAAGCGACCAAACGGCGCGAGGAACTGCCATGCACTCTGCACGAATTCGGCATCGTCGGGCAGGGTGTTGATGACCAAATCGACGTCCTTGGGGCTCTTGTTGGTGCGCGAATCAAAGACTTCGGCACCCAGAGCGGTAGCAACCTGGGCAACGGCCTGGCCCAGGCTTCCATGAGCATGTACGAGAACACGCTCTCCTTTGCGGAGGCGCCCTTCTTCGACGGTGGCGTAGTAGGCTTGGGTGTAATCAGCAGGCAGCGCAGCGGCGACGTCGAACGGCATGTCATCAGGAATCCTGGCGGCGCTCGATGCTCGACAACGCACAAACGTGCCATACGCATCGGCCGACAGACAGCACACGCGGTCACCCACGGCCAGCCCCTCGACCCCGCCGCCAACACGGGTCACAATGCCGCTGCACTCGGTGCCCAGTGGACGGCTGATGGAGAGATTCGATGCGGCTCTGGCGTCGTCCATGGCGACACCCGTGGCCGCCACTCGCACCTCGATCTCGCCGTCCTGTACATCTGAAACGGCGTCAACATCTTCCAGGTACAGCGTCTCGGGCGCTCCTGGCCTTGCCAGTGCCAGCTTCATGCGTCTTTCGGGGTCGAAACGCTGCGCAGACGGCCCGCAAGCACCGGTGGCGGCATGACAGGCACGCATGACGGGCTCATTGTCCGCCAGGCGCGGGACCAACAGCATCCCGTCCTCCTCGACGTATTCCAGATCGATCCTGCCGGGACTGCTGCTACCAATCCGCGCCGCGACCTCGGCCACCAACGAAGCCTGGGCCTCGGCATCATCTTCGTCGTCCTCGTCAGGATCCAGGTCCAGCGTGGCGATCCTCGTCCCCAGCTCATACCGCAGCGTCCGGGCGAAGCCGGCGACAATGCCTCCATGCGGGATGGTGGTCTTCTTCTGCGCCCCTTTGGTCACCCACACCGCTTCGTCGGCGGTCAACAAGATGCGCTTCAGCTTCTCGAACCCGGCTTCATCGGCCTCAGACAGAAGCGAGCCGTGCACATCACATATCACCACCCCTCCCCTGCTCCCGGGCTCAGCCTGGGCCAGGGCACACACCGACACGGTCAGTTTCGCACGGGTCATCTGATCCTTCACCTCGAAGGCCAAGTCCTCGGTCCTGGGGTCGGTGTACACGACGAGCCAGGGCTGGCTGCTGCTCTTGGTTGCCGTGAAGGCGTCAGCCGGCTGCCACGCCACCTTGTAGCAGCCACTCGTCGGTTCGGGCCATCTCACAGCCCCTGAGTTGGCAGCGCCCATGGTCAGCCCGTCCAGCTCGATGCACATCTGCTGCCCTGCCCAGGCAGTAATGGAGAAGTCTCCAGACACACCCCCCACCGTAGCCACAGCATCCAGACGATCCCCCGGCTTCCCAGGTACGTGGCGGCTGACGAACATGTGCCCAACCCCTGTCGGTGTCCAGATATTGTCTGGGCCTCTCGCAGGCTCGGCCACCAGCAGAGGTAGCACGCATTGGAACAGACCGTCCAGCGTCGTCGGGTGCACCGTCAGCGCCGTCTCATACTGATATGGCATCACCGCCTGCGTGTCTGAGACGCTGATCTCGCCCACGGCCTTCCCACCACCGTACCGGAGACTCTGCACGTTCTGGAACGTCGTTCCGCGCTGGGGAGACACCCGTGCCCAGTCCCGGTATAGCGTGTTCCCGTCCACACTGCGGCGGCACTTGGCCACAGCATCCTCTGGCCGCGTCTTCGTCGTGCTCTCACATCCAGCGCGGACACAGATCAGGCCACGGCAGTGGTGCAGCCAGCCACTGGCACCGGCATCCCAAGTCGAGATTTCGAACTCGTCCCAGCCGCCAGCGCCAGGCACGGGGCGCAGCTTGGTAGCCAAGTCGCAGCGGTTGCCCTCGCGCAGCACGAGGGGGCTCAGGGCGCGGGCGTCGCGGAGCATGAAGCCGGCACCAGCAGCGTCCAAGTCGAGGAGGCTGCGACGCTCAGCAGCGAGCTGGGCGGCGGCCTCGACGGCGGCGCTGAGCAGGCCGGCAAAGGGGAAGACGGCCGAGGCGCCCAGCCGGTGGTCGCGCAGCCACGGCAGGTCTTCGATGCGCAGCACGCTCGTCCACGCCGCCTCGCCGCCGCTCAGGCCCTCCAGCGGCCGCCCCAGCAGGTCGTGCCGCGTGCTGCTGCCGCGAAGGCTCTCTTCCAGCAGCCGCGAGTCGAGCCAGTGCCGAGTACGCGACCACGGGTAGGGGCTCAGCCCCTCGACCAGCCGTGGCGGCGAGGCATCGCTGGCGGGGAAGTTGACTTGGTTGAAGTCCAAGCCGATGCCCAGGCTGAAGAGCTTGCCTGCCAGGTCGAGGCTCGTGCGGCGGGCGTCCTTGCCGCGCTCCAGCATGGAGAAGAGGAGAGTCTTGTCGACCTTGCCGGCAGCGTGGAGAATCTGCTTGGTCGGTCCCAGGAGCGTGGTACGCGGTCCAATCTCCACGAAAGCATCCGGTGGGTTGTCCCTGGACAGCAGGTCGAGGACGCCCTGCGAGAATCGGACAGGGTACCTGGCGCTGCTTGCCCAGTACGAGGGTTTGACCTTGGAGCCGGCTAGCTTGCGGCCGTGCATGGTCGAGTAGAAGTCGGCCGTGTGCTTCTCTTTCGGCTGCGGCTCCAGGCCCTCGAGGTTCTTGTACAGTTCCAGCACGTGCTCTAGGAATGGAGAGTGGTAGGGCACGTCCACGTCGAGACGCTTGTGTAATATGCGCTTCTGTCGCATGAGGCCCTCCAGCTCTGCCAGCCCCGCCTCGTCACCCGACGCCGTGACCGACTTGGGCGAGTTCTCACACGCGATGACAACCGTCCCTGCGCTGACAGCACCGAGCAGTGGCGAAACGTCGTCAGCCCCTGCCATGATGGCTATCATGCCTCCACGCAGGTCCGGTTGCTCGGTGCGAAGAGCTGCCGTAAACTGCCCGCGGTAGTAGGCGGCGCGGGTGGCGCTCTCCAGGGACAAGATGCCCGCCGCAAAGGCCGCTGCGATCTCGCCGCTGGAGTGGCCGACGGTGGCGTGCGGCTCGACGCCCCACGATCGGAGCAGGAGCACGAGGGCGACCTGCAGGGCGGTGGTGGCGGGCTGGCTGACTTCGGGCTGGTCGATGCGGGACGACTCGGGTCCAGCCTTGAACATCTGCTCTTCCAGCGTGAAGTCGGCCCCGAGTTTGACCAGAATCGCATCCGTCTCGCGGATCGCCTGAGTGAAGACCGGGTACCGGTGGAAGAGCTCGCGGCCCATGCCCAGCCACTGTGAACCCTGTCCGGGGAAAATGAAGGCCAGTCTCGGTCCCCGCTGCCCGGACCTCACGCCGCTGCCGCTGCTGGCCAGGGCAATCGAGAGCTCTGATGTCGTCGAGGCCACCGCCGCGGTTCTCGAGGTGAAGTGAGTCCGGCGCTGGCCGAGCGTGTAGGCCAGGTCACGAGCCGACACTTGGACGTCGCCCTGTAGGAACCGGACCAGTTGCTCTTTCCGCTGCGTGAAAGCAGCCTCGTCATTTGCCGAGAGCGGGATGAGCAGCGGGTCTGCACCGGCGTCATCTTCGCCGGCTGGCAAAGCAGCAGGCTGGCTTGCGGGCGGCTGTTCCAGCACGCAGTGGGCATTGGTACCGCCGAAGCCGAAGTTGTTGACTGCTGCATAACGCTTGCCTTGTGGCCACGCCACCGAATGCACCGGCACCTCCATGTTGCGGCTGCGTAGGGGTGCCTTTTCGTTCTCTTGCCTGAAGCCGACAGTCGGCGGCACGATGCCCTTCTGCAGCATCATGGCGACTTTGATGACCGAAGGGATGCCGCTGGCCGACTCGAGGTGGCCCACGTTCGACTTGACCGAGCCGAGGAGCAGCGGGGCTGCGGCGGTCCGCCCACTGCCGAAGACAGTGTGTATGGCAGAGAGCTCTATGGGGTCTCCCACTCGGGTTCCAGGGGCGTGTGCTTCCACAAACCCCACGTCCTCAGGGGATATTCCGGCGCGCGTATACACTTGCTGCATTAGTTTTGCCTGCGAGGCCTCGCTGGGCGTTGTGTAGCTGAGTTTCTGGCCGTCGTGGTTGACACCGACGTCTGTAAGCACACAGTGGATGCGGTCGTTGTCCCGCAGTGCGTGGTCGAGCGGCTTCATCACCAGGCATCCGGCCCCTTCTCCACGGGCATAGCCCGAGTCAGCCGCCCGGTCAAAGGCGGCACTCTCGCCCGAGGGATTCAGCATCCTGGCTGCGCGTCAGCATGCAGTCTCTTGCGGAAGCTGGGGGCGTACATCAGGTTGGACAGCAACATCCACCTCCACGGAGTCAGGTTCAGAGCGCACCCCGCCACCAGGCAGACCTCGGTCTCTCCCGAACGCAGGCTCTGTGCCGCCTGGTGCATGGCGGAAAGCGTCGACGAGCACGCCGTCTCCACCGTGACGCTGGGGCCCTTGAGGTCGAAGTGATAGGAGATGCCGTTGGCGAGCATGCAGGCATTGCCCAGCGCGGCGCTCATGGGCGTGCTGCTGTGCACGTCGTTCATCTGGGCAAATGTGTAGTCACACATGTTGTTCGTGGCAAAGACGCCCACGTCGCGGCCGGCAATGCGCTCCTTGGGGATGCCCGCATCCTCCAGCGCCTCGAAGGCGCATTCGAGCAACAGCCGGTGCTGCGGACCCTGCTCGGTTCGTCAGCACAACTGTCCATGGTAATCCGTGGCCGAGGTCAGGGCTCACCGTGGCCGCCGCTTCTGTGGCGCCCATCTTGAAAAAGGAAGCGTCGAAGGTCGACACGTCCTGGTCGACAAAGTAGCCATGCTTCGTGTTGATGCAGTCCTTGCGGTCCGGGTTGGGGTGGTAGAAAGTGTCCGGGTTGAACCTGTCGACCGGAAAGGCGGTCCTCCCGCTGCGCTCAGAGACCATCATGTCCCAGAAGTCAGCGAGGGAGGAGACGGCGCCAGGCATGCGGCATGACATGCCTACAATGGCAATGGGCATGGGCCGCGTCGGCCGCGGGGAGTCCGTGCCGCTGCCGTCCATTCTGGAAACCGAAATGGGGTGAGAAGGGTACGGTGGAGGAGCGACGTGGAGAGATCCTCCCGTGATTGCTCCTCACATCTTATATCTTGCACCCATGGAGGACCTGTCTTACTCGTGTCTGTAGGCCGTGACTTTGGGCACAATGCTCTGCCGTCTCGCTTAATGCTCAAACCCCGGCTCACCGGCACTTGTGGGGCCCCGGCATTGCAATCCCCGCAATTTCTGGTGGAGGCCTGAGCTTGGCGGCTTCACCCGAGTCACGACGACGGCGCTGTTTGGCTGATGTCGAGCATGCGAGTAAGGAAAACCCGGGGTTGTTGTAGTTGGGGCAGGTCCACCGAGATAGACTCCGGATCTGGCGTAACGTCATGGAAACTTGAAACCGCCCAAGACACCGCACGAATAAGTGTCTGCTGCAGAGTCCGCAGAGAGCAAGAACAGGCATTGCCAAGCCGTGACTGGGGACAATGCGAGATAAGAACCCGCTGCCCAATCTCCTGCCGTGAGAAAGATTGCCCACTCTGTTGGGCGATAGCAACCTCCAACATCACCGCCACCAGCCATGGCCACAGACGTCCCTGTCCCCGTCTTGCTCGTTCTGCTCGCCGCCCCAGAGGCTTTTCTCTTGAAATACCTGGTTGCGGAACCGAACATCACCACCGCCATCCCAGTCCTGCTTGCTTTCAACTGTTCCGTCTGGATTTTCTGGTTGGTCATCGTGTATCCCGTCTTCTTCAGCCCTTTGCGCCATCTCCCAGAGCCCAAGGTATGCCCTTTCCCGCACTCTGGCTCGGGACGGCTCTAATCGGATTCAGAGCGGATATCCCCACTACGCGCGCTGGCTGGTTCTTACCGACAAGTTCGTCGCAACAGAGTACCTCAGGTGGATCAAAGAGGTTCCCAACAACGGTCTCATCAGATACCGCGGCCTCTTCAACGCCGAGACTCTTATTCCAACCGACCCGCAGGCGTACGCCGACATCCTGGTGCACAGCCCCTACGACTTCGCCAAGCCGGAAAAGCTGCGAACCTTCCTCCGTCGCTTTATAGGTGATGGCCTGATCAACACCGAGGGAGAAGAGCACAAGTTCCAGCGTAAAGTCATTACGCCGTCCTTCAGCTTTCGCCAGATAAAGGAGCTCTATCCCACCTTCTGGTCAAAGTCCGTCGAGCTCACCCAAAGGATTGCCGCCGAACTTCCCGACTGTCCGGAATATGACGCTAAGACTGGCGAGGGTATCGTCGATATCAGCCACTGGTCCACGAAAGTTACCCTCGACATCATCGGTCTCGCGGGTTTGGGCCGAGCCTTCAATTCGTTGCACAACCACGACGACCCGCTAGTGGCGCTTTACGATGAGATCCTGGAGCCGACGACGGAAAAGAGGATCCTCTGCCTCTTGTATCTGTACTTCCCGGACCGGCTGCTCCGCCTCGTGCCCTGGGAAGCCAACCGTCGTCTAAACCTCAACACCGAACGACTGAGGGAGGCGAGTCTGAAGCTGATGCAAGAGAAGAAGCAAAAATTCACGCCCGACGGCGAAGAGCAAAACGACATCCTATCAGGCCTGCTCCGCACCAACATGTTCAACGAAAAAACCCTCATCGACCAGCTCCTCACCATCCTGGCCGCCGGGTAAGCCGCTCCCCTCTCCTTTCCCCCCTCTACACCGTCCCCATGCTGACGCCGCCCCTCGCGCACAAAAAGCCACGAATCCACCGCCACAACCTTCACCTGGGCCTGCTACCTCCTCGCACTCCACCCAACCGAGCAATCGCGCCTACGCGCCGAGCTCCGCGCCGCCGACCTACCGCCAACATTGTCCGCCAGCCCCTCGACGACGACGACGACGACGACGACGCTCGACGCGACGCTCGAAGCACTACCGTACCTCAACGCCGTATGCAACGAAGTCTCACGGCTGTACCCGGCCGTCCCCATCGTGGCGCGGACGGCGGTGCGCGACACGCAAGTCGCCGGCACGCACGTACCCGCCGGCACGATGCTGAACCTGGTGCCGTGGGCGGTCAACCGCAACCCGGCGCTGTGGGGCGCCGACGCGGGCGACTTCGTGCCGGAGCGGTGGCTGGAGCAGACGGACGACGGCCGGCTGCGGGCGAACAACCATGGCGGGGCCGCGGGCGGGAACTACGCCCAGATGACGTTTTTTCATGGGCCGAGGAGCTGCGTGGGGCAGAGGTTTTCCATGGCCGAGTTGAGGTGTTTGGTTGCGGCGTTTACTGGGCGGTTCGAGTGGGTGTTGGGGATGCCTGAGGAGGACGTCGTGCCGGGTGGGTTCGTGACGGTGAAGCCGAAGGGGGGGATGAGGCTGAAGGTCAAGATGGCGGCGTAGTGGCTTGCGGTGGCTCGGTGGGTGTAACGGGTGGCTCCCGAGAGGGATGGGTGGTTTCGAAGTCGGTAGGAGACTTTTCTTCAGGTTGGGAACTTGGTTGGATTCGCCCACTCTGAACATCATCCAGTACCTACTTGATCCATCGTTGCCGGGGGTATCGATGATATCCTATCGGCTACAACCTTTGAAAAAAAAAACCTGGTTTTCACCCTTGTCAGTGTGGAGCGCGCTAGCAGCAGATGCCCCTCCGACCATGGTGCGGAAGATTCGATCTGCATCGTAGATCGTGCTTTAAATAGCAACAGTGGTGCGTCTTTATCCCACCGGTCAGATAGTAATGCCCAGGTACCTTGCAGCAGCTTCCTCCGAGTCGACACCTAGCGCCCATGTGGCTTCGTCGAGGCGGAGGAGGCGGAGGTGTGGGTTAAGGTTGGAGCTAGTGATGGTAGGGCGCTGCTTATACCCCTGACTTGGTAGGTTGCCGCGCGCATTGATGATTCTAGAAAAGCCGTCGCTACGTTTCAATTATTACTTTATACACCACCACAGAAGGGACTATTCGAGCTTTCTGGCCTCATGATCTAGTCTAATAAGTAGTGACCAAAGGAAAACCCGCCATGGCTTGGTTCGATGATTACTAGATGCTTATCTTTCCGCAATAACCGTCGCATCCGTTATCCCCCGGCCACTCGCCCCGATCTTCATCCACCCGTCCCGGGTCTGCATGTGATCATGCACCCCATGGCCCGTCGCTTCGGTCCACGACCTCGGCTCGCCCTCACCCTGCACTCCCAGAGCGTTCTCTGAAGACGTCGTAAACCCCTTGATAACCTCGATCCGCAGCCGGTCACCTTTCTGCTCCGGAAGACGGCCATCAACACTTTTGTCAGAACCCCCCTGCTCAATATCCCCCACGCTGCCCCAATCCGTCGTGCTCCACTGACCGGTCGACTTTAGCTCCATCTCATCTGTCTCGTGCGTCGTATGGCGACTCATCATGTGGCTGTTTGTACCGCGGGCGGTACCGCTGCTGCCGAACCTGGCCGTCCCGCCGGTGCAAGACTTGTCGCCGCCGCTGTTGTCGGGTGTGCGTCTGTGGCGCCGCGAGAAGAGCGGCTTGATGGCGGGCGCGTTGACGGCGAAGATGGAGACGAAGGTCTCGCGGATGGCCCAGACGCCCGACGTGCCGATGCGTCGGATCTCGCCGACAGACATGACGCAGCGGATGATGGCGGCGGCCACGATGAAGATGCCGGAAAATAGGAGGAGTGCCACGAGCAATTTGCGTCTGATCGGGATCTGCGCTTTCCAGAGGATCGGGGCGGGGATGAAGGCCATGAGGCCGACGTCGGTGCTGGTGGTAATCGGTCAGCTGTGTCAGCATTGTCGGCTTATCGAGGACCTACGAGACGTTGAGAATGAGGAGAAGATAGTATCTAACGTAGATTAACGTGCAACTGTCTGCCCGCCACAGGTTAGCTTGTAACGCTGTTTACTCATCTGTAAAACTCACCTCCGGCGTAGGGCTTGATCTGCCAGTTCTTCTGGACGGGCCGGCACTGGAGAAGAATCTCCATGATCATCGCACACCAGCTGACACCGACGAACCAGCCGAGTATCCTCACAAGCCTCTGCTCTTTCAATCCTTTCCTGTGGAATTCGTCAGCTCTTTGCTCCGATACATATCGGACGATTTTACACTTACGTGAGACGGTTGTAAAAGAACAAAACCGAAGTTTTCAACGACCAGATGAGGCAGATGTAGCTCATCCATGCTCCAAAAAGAGCCTTCGATCCTGTAGCTAGGGATTCTGCTTCTACGTCGGTGAGAGCATCGGCCGTTTCGGTCGTGAGTCCAATGAAGGTGCCGTATTTGTCTGTGTGCTTGGAGTCAGCAACTACAAGTGAGAAGTGCCAACGGGGCAACTGACTGAGGAGATATATCGTTACTGCCTCGGAAGTCCACAGACACTGCATACCCGTATCAGTCAACCAGTCTTCTCAGAATGATAAGGGGCTTACCATGGCAAGACCGGCAAAAAGGTCATCGTAGTAAAGGTTTCGCCAGCCGACAACGTACAGGCGAGCAAACAGGCGTAGGAGAACAACCAAGACGCCGATGGGATACTCTACCCACTGTTCTAGCAGGATTGCTGGAAGGGCCATGGCGATGGCAGGAGTCTGGAATCGAGCAGAGCCGGGCAAACCACACGTCCAACACAAGGATTCAGAAGAGGTAGCGGCGGCGTCACTTAAATGTCATTCTGATACGCGCCCCTACGTTACATTTTCAGTTGCTCCTTGCGTACCGCGGTTGCAGGAGCGCCAAGAGCTGAAGGTGTAGGATTTGGAGATCCCATTTTTGGATGGATGAAATACCGCAAGGGCTTGCACATCTGTGTCTCTACCAGTTGCAACTTGCAAATGTTTGCTGCCGGTACCATCTATTCGTGATATAAGGCGGGACCCAGATTAGCTAGCGTGTACTACGCTAGCTAGCTGCAACCTTGACGCACGTTCCAAACCGCCGGCGCTGAGCGGGGCGTATTAATAATAATAATGGCTTGGACAGCATCGATCCCCAGCCGCGGGAGCGGGCTGCACGGAACATGGCGTAAGTCCAAGGGGCTTCATGCAGGTACTAATGTGGGGGACATGCGATTGGCGATGCGGGGAACTATCCGGAAAGTACTGGGCCAACGCGAAGGAAGAGGCGAAGGATTCAGGAACAAATAGATCAAATCGAACCGTCAACCTACGCGGGATCTTGCCTCGAGACCCTGCTAGCGGTGGCAAATAGGTGTGGCTTGACGCGACAAACACCGCCCCTTTCCGCGTTTCATCTCCACCCATTCCAGCTTTCATCATACCCTACCTACTGCTACTCCTACACACGTTTTCTCCTGGCAGCGGCCTGATCGTCACTGCGAGAGCCGCCCTCGAACCCACCAGCCATAACCCCGTCTTCCGATTCGACGCGTGAAAATTGCCAGCTGGATGAAGGTAAAGTACATTGTCTCACGAACCGCTACTTCTCTTTTCGTCAAGATTGCATCGAAAAGGGACGCGGATCCGATGCCCCTCGCCTGACGGACCGTCCCGAGCGCCAACTACTAATCCCCATTACCCCACAGAATCCGAGTCAGTCCCGAAGGACGCTCCCGCAATGCCCCTGCAACATTCATCCCAAGATTAACTAATATAGATAGTTATTGGGTGTGGGAAGCTAAATACTAACTTAAATAAAAAAAAAGCCGATCGCGGTAGCTATCTAAAAGATTATAAATAATATTATCTATATTAGCTCTCTTTTCGATAAATCGCCTGGGCCAGCCCGCTCCCAACGTCGCCAGCCAGACGGCCTTACCGCCAAGCGCGCGCTCGAAAAAGTCCCAGCTCGCCGCGCGCTCGAGTCTCTTCTGGAAAGCGCTGACCTGAGCGGCATAACCACCCTGGTTGGCTTGCTTGCGAAAGCTTTCGAGCGAGCCGTGCTGGTTCGTTGCCTCGGCTGCCTTTTCGGGACTGTCTCGCGTCTGCGTGAAGAGGTAGAGCTTGGCTTCTGCCGTCGCTTTACCGCTGCTGGCGAGAGCGCCCCCGGTCCTACCGCCGGAAGCTATAAGCTCGGCTATCCTTAACTTCCTCTCCTTTTGGATGGCCGCGACTGCCTGCGTGTACAGCCTGTGGAGCCGGGCCATTTTCCAGCAGTACGCCGCCGCGGCCCAAGCCGCCTGCCCCTCCTGCGCGACCGCGTCCCTCCAAGCGTGTCGAAAGACCCTGACCTCGGCCATTCCACCATCATCGGTGGGACACTCGGTGGCCCTAACCACGACTGCTTCATCCCGACCTGCTTACCCCTCGAACGTGTTTGCGTTCACCCTCTACCTCAAATTATTGCGTTGGGGTTTCTATCCTGCAGATTTTTCCGCCTCTCTAATTCAGCTATGTTACTTCAAGCCACATTTGTTCTGGTCCAAACGATGCGTTTTCATCGCCCGTGAGGATCATCGGGCTGCGCTGACGGGCATGCAGGCCAACGCACCACCGAGCTTACATACATGAATAGATGGATATATGTCTTAGAATGCTGGAATAACGCATCCGTTGGCTGATGAGGTGGCAAAGGCTGCACTCCATTTCTAAAATTCAAGATGTGCAGACTCCTGATGACGCGGCGGTACGCGATTGGCCAACGAATATAATCCCACGACGCCTCGCTCTTATCGTAAGACGCCACAGTTTCGCCTAACATAAGCCCAACATGCAAGTGCGCTGGCACTAAGTGAATTTCTTTCGCAGTATGGCCTTGGAAATGCAATCACATGCAGACATAACCGGACCGTCGGTTATCAGAAGCAACAGCAGATGCCATGTCGATGATTTCTATATGTCAGACTAGTACTAATCTCGTCAGTAAGGCACATATGAGTCACAAACAACGGTGATGTAGCGCCATTTACGTCAGACTCTACGTAGAATTCCGGACTAGATAATTACAGTAGCACAGGATGCAAGACCGCGAACATTTCGAACTCTATAAGAGCAACCCATCAACCTGTTTAGATATTCTGTTAAGTAAGGTCTAAGACACTTTGAAGTTCGTATAAAGGCTTGACGAACCCACATCATCAGTAAGTAAATAACACTTAACTACCGTTTTATTATCGCTCACGTTTTAAAATTCAATTAGCAATTCAACATTACAAATCGAAAATGTCGGACACCACAAAGAAGGCCCTCGAGATCGTACAGCGCGAGGAGGAAAATAACGCCATGGAGCATAGTAGTGATGCCGACAACTATGCTGCTACTGGCAACTACGATTCTGCCAACGAATCTGCGGACCAGTCGGAGGAAGCAGCCCAAAATGCTACGAACCTAGGGGAAGCAAACCAGTAGGGTTGTTTCAGAGAACCCAAAGTCTATCAGAATGGAGGAAGACAGATAGGGACAAGCTACGCGACAACCTTTAGCTACGTAGTCTCTCACTATAGCTGAATCATTCTTCACTATGCTTGCACATTCTCCAGGGTGACATGCTGCCCTTTCATAGCCCATTTGCTCTATTGCTTAAAACTTTAATACTTAATTCGTCAGGCGCAAGTAAAAAGCTATCGAGAAGATAGGAAATGTGCCGCGGAAACCGCTTTATGTTTTGATTTTGTTGACAATCTGCCAATATCCGCTTTGCCGTTGGCGGCATCAGCGGTCATTGCTCCTTAGTGTAAATCAAACCAGGTTGATTGGCTGTCTAGTGCCCCCAAGGAATTCAGCGAGGCAACGAGCTCACCCTTGTTGGAAAAAGAAGAAAGTAGAGAAGGTTAGTAAGATGCTACTTCTTCCAACTAGAGTCGGGCAGACTTACGTCCATTAGGCCTTCCACGTAGGCATCCCCAATACACCTCCAATAGGGACCGTGTTTTCTGAGGATCATTGGAACATCACTTCCAAACAGAACGGAAATAAGGTCCCCGGGCTGAGATTCCAATGGTCCAAGTCCAAGCCGTCCTTCATTGCTGAGAAAGATGCATCGGTTCATCGAGTTTTCAAAGGCTGCATCAGTGAACTCATCCGAGGTGGCATCTTGACTCTCGAGAATGCATTCGGCAAGAACAGGATCATCCGCTTTGTGTATTCCGGCATGGTCCAACATAAACCGAGCAAACGCTGCCTTGAACGCTTGGTCGTGGTCAATGCGGCCCTGATTCGCATCCTGACCGGCGCAGATTGTAGCGGCAAAGACCATAAGCAGCTCACTTGTGGTTCGGCCGCCCGTGTGGCGCCTGATGACACCCCAAGCATTTTTTATCGCCTTTGCAAGCTCTCCACGGATCTGAAGGATATCGAACGTAAGGGATCCGCAGACGATATCTACTGCTTGGGCAGGAAGACCTCGTATACGTAGTATGTCGGGTCTGCCGATCTCTTCAGCCACCAGAGGCCTTGTACCGTTACTGACGCCTGTGAAAGCATTGATTGAAGAAGATGAGCCCTGACTGGGGTCCCAGGCCCAGTCCAGCCTTGGCACCCACGAAGGAAAGTCCCCAATCTCGAGGTTGTTGTAAGGCTTCCAAGACAACGGCGGACGCATCCAGGTTGCTCGTTTGAGCACAGTGAGACTTCCCTCAGAGATAGCGCACCTGGCAGCCGCTGCGTAAACATCTTTCAGAGATGCATCTTTGTAATCTGGTTCGAGTAAGATCTTCTGACCCTGTGCGCTTGTTGGTGGAATCATTCCAAGAAGGCCGTATACTTTGTCCCGCGGATCTGTTGCATCGAAGTACATGCAAATCTGCAAGAGCTCGTATAGTCCGTTTACGCCTCGCATGTTGTCGAATACCTCAGCGGCGCAGTCGATACCGCGGAGCCTGGAACCCACTGCCTTCCAGTACTTGCGGTGATACAGCCATCGAGCGGCCAAGGCGATATCGTTCCACTGAATGCTGTGTTTTCCTCGGAAGCACTTTGCCACTTTGGCCAGGCAGACCTCTTGGACAGGCCAGAGACGTGTGAACCAATGTGCCGCAAAGAAAGCGCGCAGTGCGGACCAGTTGCAGGAGTCTGGCAGTGCTTCGTCCGAGTACAGATACCATCGTGCGGCCCCCACGCCACCCCAAAGCGTTTCGTCCAGAGTTCGAAGGTCTTTTGTGCTCTGTCGACACTGCGTGACTATGTCATTGATAGACTGTAAGGCTGCTTCGGTCTCTCCATCGCTTTCGCCGAGCCAGACAAGGACGTGATCGGCTTTGGTGTAGACATCTCGCATCATCCCGACTTGGTGTCCGACCTCTTCTTTGTCAAACTGATTGATGCAGACAGCGTCGACCCAGACTGGCATAGATTCATCCTCCGCGTTGAACGCAAAGCGGAGCACGCCTGCCGCACTTGCTGATATTTCAATTGAACGGCCATCGAGTAGTATCCTTTCGACAGATTTTGAAGAGCCCCAGGAGTACGATATCGCCGCGTAACGAGGTGGTGGAGTGTCAAGAAGGCTGAAATGCTTCACCTTACACTGTAGCGGCTCTTTTCGGGAGATTGAATGGCCGTGGCATCGAAAGAGAACTCGAATCACTTTCTCAAACTTGTTGAGTGGTTGATATTGATAATCCATAAATGTATGAAAGTGCCACACGAAAGTGTTTGAGGGTGAGCGGTGGGCGGAGATTGCTATTTATCCGCGTAAAGGTCGAAAAGTCTGGCGAGATGGCAATGTGGCTAAGCTGCATGTATGACATGGTTTCTGGGCACAGTAAGCTAGCACAAACGGTGGCTTGTTAGATAAGCTAATTTTTGGTTGACAAATAGTATATATAATATTGGCAACGGATGTGTATTGTGTAGTCTATTTGACCAGGCTCCAGCTATTATATGTTACGGATCAAGCCTGCGGCGCTGCAACGAAAGCAGAGGCAGCAGAGCTGAGGACAGCGCCCTAACCGCCCGGGAAAACGTTGCCCCGAGAATCACGGTCACGTGGATTGCCAAGACCGTGATCCCACGACGGGATCACTACCATAAACCAAGTGATCCACAGGCTTTAACGAAGAGCTCGCGGAACAGGTGGCTAGGAACGAAGAAGAGATTAGGCGCTTACGTAGCGCGTTCGAGATGTCCGAGGAAACGCAGACCAAGATGGAGGAACACATAGGGAAGATGGGGAAGCAGATTGCGGCGCTCGTAGAGTCGACGCGCAGGAATCTGAGCTTACAGTCCCAGATTAACGCCACGTACGCAAACGTGCTCCGAGGGGGACTGCAATATCGCTTTGGCTTAGAACTCCCGCATCCTGTCGAGGACTTCCTCTGAACTTTAGCCAGAAGCGTCTTCGCTCGAGCGTCGACCTCCGTGAGACCTTTTTACGAAATCCTCCTCCGTTTTTCGTTTCCTGGCTTTCAATCCCTTCTGCGCCATTTTTTGAGACCCTCCCATTCGGGACTCGGCCTTACGCGAGCCTCGTCGGCGCAGGAACAGTCCCATTAGGTATGTCTGTAGGAGTTGGCGAGAAGGAACGGAGACCGGCGTGGTCTTGCCAGATGCGTCGAGCTAGAGATGGCGCGTGTTGACGCTACGAGAGGACCGGGTGATGATGGACTATTTCGCTTTGTGGCTCACACAAAGGGGGATGCCCGAATGGTACTGAAATGATCAAGTAGGCGATCACTTCATTCCCAAACTGTCTCATTTGTCACACGACCAGATGGGGTCTGTGGTCGCCGCCGAAGGGGAGATATGTCAGGGGAGGGAGGGGGCGGAGTACTTGACAAAAATCAAGTGTCTGAAGGAAATGGCGCCAACTGAATGTAATGGTTGATCAAATAGTGGCATAGGCACTGGGTTTAGAAAGCCACCCTCAGTAAACGCAGCACCTAGCCCGATATGCCGGCAACGCACTATCTCGTTGTTTTACCTTCCCGCCTTCCCGTCTTCCCTCTTGCCGTCTTGCAGCTCGCAAATTGCAACAACTCACCGACGAGTCAACCGGCTTCTCCTGCTACCCCTTACCGGCTTCAGTAGCGCAGCAGAGAAGAGAATCAAGGTATCGGCTAGTCTCGCTCGACCGTGGTTAGCCCCGCTTTCCACAACGTCTTTTGGATTGGCAGTCACTGTTGAAGTACTTTGTACCAATGATGTCATATCACGGGTTCAACCTTCACTTCTGGGTATATATTAGCACAACGCCTGTAGTTGAGTTCAACAAGCAATCCTCCTTCTTCATCTTACGTCACATGATTCCTTGGACTTCAGCAGTCACCGCCACGACGTAGCTGCGCAGCGTCACAATGTCATTTGGGCCTGGGGCATTCGTAACTTCTGGTCTCAATATGCCACACACTGCTCCACCCCCCAACTACCCCTTCGTGAATACATAAAACGTTCCCATGGAAGCGACCACTCCTCCAGCGGCCACGTAAAGGCCCTCAGCACCGCCACCGCCAACCAGGGTGGAGCTCTCCACCAAAAACTTACACACCGCAGCAGCGACCAGGCCGACCCAGACAGCAACACAGACAAAGGGCGCCCAGGTCCACCCAAGCGTCCGCAAACGCGTCCAAAGCGTCGCCCTCCCCTTCCCGCCCGCACCACCGCCGACGCCCTCATTCCCCCAACTCCCATCAAAAACGGTCACACAAGCCCAAAACACCACGGGCGGCTGCGGAAACTGCAAAAACACCTGGCTGGCGCACAGCCACGGCCACACGCGACACCAGCGGCCAGCGCCAGCGCCGGCGTCACCGCTCCGCCTCGCGCCACCCTGGGCAGCCGTGTACACGGAGCACAGCAGCACCCTAGCCGCAATGTCTGCAGGGCTGGAGATGGCGACGCGTGTGCCAGAGGCGAGGTAGCGGACGACGATCCAGGCCTGCAGGTAGGGGCCGGCGATGCGGCGGACGGCGTAGAGGGCGAGCATGGGGTTGCGGGCGGCGAGGACGCGGGGGTGGGCGAGCGTCTCGAGCACGATGGCGCGGCTCCAGCGGCACTGCTGGACGATCCAGGCGGCGGCCGTCGAGGGCGCCGCCGTGTGCAGCAGCGCGGAGGGGTGGAAGGTGGTGCGGAAGCCGCGGGCGAGGAGCAGCGTCGTGAGGTGGCGGTCTTCGTTGACGAGGGGGCGGGTGCTCAGCACGGTTTGCGTGTACCACGGCACGAGGATGCTGGAGAGGGCGGGGGTGAGGAAGGCGGCGCAGGGGCCCGGCTGGCAGTCGGTCACGTCGAAGGCGGAGTTTTGGCCGGATGTGAGGGCGAGGTCGGTGAGGTAGGTGGCGGCGATGAGGCGGGTGGTGGGGGATTGGGTGGGGTTGTGGACGTTGAGGGCGCCGCAGGAGCCGGCGATGGAGGGGTCGGCGGCCATGGTGGCGAGGACGCGGTGGATGGGGGAGGCAGAGGGGTCGAAGTAGGTGTCGGAGTCCGAGGACCAGATGAAGGGGGTTTGGTGCGTGCGAGCGAGGGCGAGGGAGAAGAGGAAGGCGCTGAACATGATGTCCTTCTTGGACATGTGTGGCTGGGTGATGCAGATGGCTTTGGCGGCGTGGTCGCCGCCCTGGTCGTGCAGCAGCTTCAGATCCTGGAGGAGGGCTGCGGCCCGCCCGACCAGGACACGACAAACGTGGTCGAAGAATTCGTCTTTGTTCGGCTGGTGGGCTTTTTCGCCCAGCGATTGCTGCACCTTCCAGCCGTCGATCATTTCTGAGGCAAGTGCACCGAAGGGCTTGTCCAGCTTGATCACTGTTAGGTTGGCGGCGCCGTAGACCTGGTCGTGTGTCAGTGTTTGAGAGCGAGAAGGCTGTTTGGTAGACGTACACTTTCGGCCACGTCCACCATGGGCATGTCCTCGGGCTCGTTGCCATCGATGCCAATAACGAGCGTTCTGACTGTTCGGGTGGTGTCGTTGCGGTAGCTCTCCAGACATTGGCGGAAGAGCGATGGGTCTTCTCGGTATCCAATGACCATGCCCACGCACTCGGTACGAGCATTACCTTTCTCTCCCAAATCTGCCTGATTCTGAACGCGCTTGTACCGGCGGTCTTGCTTGTAGCGATTGACCTCGGAGCATATTATCTGAAAGAAGCCTTCTATGAGGAGCGGAAAACCAAATGTATAGTGCAGTGCGAGCTTGTAGACGAACGAAATGGTAACGATCAACAACAGTGCTTGCAAGACAGGTGTCAATGCTCTATGAAGTTGGCGGAAGTTGAATATCATGGCTGGTTCCTGTAGCAGAGGCCGACGGGGAGAGTGCAATGAGAAATGACGGCGAGCGGCGAGAAGGCAATAAGTAGGGCGATAGAGGCCTGGGGAACGAACAAAAGCTGGACCGGGGGATCTCAATGCCGGCGACAGGTCCGAGTCCGAGTGGGTCGCTGCAGACTTGTTCCGACGGTGGCGACATGTCGTCGTGCTGTGGAGCCTCGGCGTGGTGTCGCGAGTAAGTTGGGAGCCGGCTCTGCATTAAGCCCCAGTGGCGCGTAGGCCGATCCCTTGCTTTCTCGAGTGATTGGCTACGGCGGAGGAGATGAGGCTGGTTTGACATAAAACGGGCATGATGCCACTGCATGGCACAATTCTGACCACCGCTGTCTATTCGATTCTACCATACCTACATCGTCGGCCTCGCACGCTTCAGAAACATGTCTCCCGCGGCTACCGGCAACGCTCTTACCCTATGGCGGGCGTTTTGTGGGCTGTGTATCTTGGCTTCCCTGACGTAAGCCATACATGAAGATGGGAGGCAGCGAGATTCTAACCCATGATGCCAGACTCCTGTCGCTCAGTGGGGCCAACAGCGCAGAGCCGTTCCCCCACTATCAGAATCCCCGGAACCTGATCGCACGTGAGCCGCTCCCGTTCTGGTGGGGTGCGAAACCCCGAGCACCCATTCGAGACTGAAACATTGGCGAGGACGCAGGAAGATGCCGGATGCCCGGAGTCGCGGCATTGACGTTCGACGACTTCCCCAACGAGAGGATTGACGAGCTGCTCGAGCTCCTGGCCGCGTGGAACGCCACGGCGACGTTTTTCGTAAACGGGCCATACGACGCAAGAGCGCCGATGCTGCAGGACGCCACCTTGGCGCCTCGGGTCAAGAAGATGCACAGCGCCGGGCACCAGATAGCGTCGCATACGTAGGTCCAGACCCATCCCGGCCGACCCGGGCCCGTTGGTTGGCCGGAGGAGCCGAGTCAAGGGCTGAGCGGCGCGTGAGCATGCAGGTACGATCATGTCAATCTCCAGACTGCGGATGCCGAGAGCGTCTCGGACACGATGGTGAGCCCAACACCCAGCCCAACCTCCACCCCCCAACCTTGGCCGCGGGCGGTGCTAACAGAGAGAGTCGCGGCGCCCAGACCCGGCTGGACCGGTGGCTCGCATCGCACCTCGGCATCTCCGCGCCGCGATTCATGCGGGCGCCGTACGGGGAGTGCAACGCCACGTGCGCCCTGACACTGACCCTTGCGGGGTACAAGGTGGTCGGGTGGGGGATGGACACGGAAGACTGGAAGCACAACACTCCCGAGACAGTGCACCGCAGCGTCTTCAGGGTGCATGAGTATCTCGACGATTTCAAAGCACGCGAGCTCAGCGACGCGTCAGCCGACATTGTGCTCATGCACGCCTTTCCCAACACGACCGTCACAACCGTGGCGCCGGCTGTGCTGGAGGCCTTTGGCCGCGAGGGCTTCCGCTTCGTGTCCGTCGCCGAGTGTTTGGGCTATCCGAGAGAGATGTGGTACCGATAGCTAGCACTGACCTAGCACTGATCCGGCAGTCGAGCCCGGATAAGATCTCTGCCTCGTCATGGGCGCCGGCCGGGACTCGCCACCGGGCCGGAGTTAGATCCGCTGGCCGTAACCTTAAATCCTACTACCTACCTACTAGTAGTAGTACATACAAGCATTTCACGCCCTCCAGTCCGTGTGTTGTTTTGTGGAGAGACACTGTGCCCTGCAGACATGATGGAGACACCACTCCCCCTCCACAAGGCACCACCGCCCCGAGCGGCGCTGGCGTCTACCGCGTGGCTCAACGGCCTGCGCGGCATGGCCTCGGTCGTCGTCGCCCTCAACCACTATCTCTACGGCGAGTTCGCGGCGCCGTGGCTGGGCTTCGGCAGCAGCCCCGAGAACCGCTACATCCACCAGCTCCCCTTCCTCCGCATCGTGTGGTGCGGCCACGCCATGCCGCCCATCTTCTTCGTCGTGTCGGGCTACTGCGCCTGCTATTCCGCGCTGCGGCTGCGCGACTCCCAAGGCCCCGCCGCCATGGCCGTGAGCCTGTCCCGGTCCGGGTTCCGCCGCGGCCTGCGCCTGTACGTGCCCGTCTTCGTCATGAGCGCCCTGGCCCAGCTGCTGCTCTTCTGCGGCCTGTACAACTGGCGCCCGGCCGAGACGACGCTGCAGCCGTGGCGCGCCCCGGTCGACCATCTCAAGTACCTCGCCGCCTACCTGCTCGACATCACCAACCCCATCTTCGTCACCGACAACCCCGGCCTGAACGAGCAGTACTGGGTCATTCCCGTCGAGTACGCCGGCTCGCTGACCATCTACCTCACCGCCCTGGCCCTGGCCGGCGTGCGAGCCCGCGCCCGCCCCGCCGTCCTGGCCGCCCTCATCGCGCCGTTTGTGTACCGTGGCAACTGCAACACCTACACCTTCCTCGCCGGCTACCTGATTGCCGAGCTGAGCCTGCTGCGCCGCCGCTCCGAGCAGAGCAGCAGCACGTGGCGCCGCCCCGCCAAAGCCGCCCTCTTCATCGTCGCCTGGTACTTTCTCTGCCTCCCAAACAACTACGCCGCCACCCCGGGCTACTCGTTCCTCACCGCGCTGCAGCCGGCCACGTGGGGCGAGTGGTCCGAGCAAAACTGGCGCGCCCTGGCCGCCGTGCTGCTGGTCTTCAGCATGAGCCTCGACGACGACGGCAACGACGAAAACGAGAACGGCCGGTGGCTGCAGTGGCTGCCCCGCTGCCGCGTGCCGCAGTACATCAGCACCATCTCGTGGGAGATCTACCTCTGCCACCTGATGGTGTATCGCTTGTGGCGGAATCCGCTCATCGACTTTTTCATGCGCTTCGCCGGCTTCGAGTGGAGCTTCGTGGCGAGCGTCGTCGTCATGGCGACGACGGTGCACTGGTGTGCCGAACGGCTGAAGTCGTTGAATAAGAGATTGGTAATGCTGCAGGTTGAGTATACTAATTATCTTCAGGACCAAGGATGGGGTCATACGCCGACCACGAGTAGATAGAACCATGGAAGCTAGAGGTGGAGGGGGTAAAACCATCTGTATGACCCTGTATTTTAGATGATGGGTTTCTAGTCAGCAACGCGGCAGCAGACCGATTGGGCTCATTCTCATTCAGCCTTGCCCCAAGGCCCGCGCCGGCGACGTCGAGATGGCGGAAACAAACGTCAAAAAATCAGTTCTCTTTACCGTTTCCGATGCCACGTCTCTCCGTTCTCAGTTGTCTTCTTAGCTTGATTTACAGCATGAGGACCTTGTCATGCAGGTGTAGTTGAGATACTTGATTGCCCATGGTAAGCTGACAAATAGACGCATGTGCTTGCTTGGTTAAGCATCTCTAGACTCAATTACTGAAAGGAGAATATCTCCTTTGGGAAGTGTCTCATTTCTGCCAGAAGTGGCATTACTCCTTTCGGTAGGGACGCTGAAACGTGTGTTGAAACGCGGCAGCTGGTTCCCCTGCGAGCAGGACCAATGTCTCAGATATAGTGGTGAATCAACGCCGGTGCTCTCCGGGTCGCATGATATTCCGGATGGAGTAGGGTGCAGACGTCAGTACCTCACGCAAGGAAAATAGCAACGTTATCGAAGGCGCATGGAGGACTGACCGTTGTGACCAGCCCCAACGCCGATGTCGGCACTGGCAGGTGCTTGGAGGAGCTGCTACCAAGACTACATGTCTGTCTCATTTGTAATTGTTACCCATTTATTTTATCTTATTTTTTTTTTCAAAAAAAAAAGATAATCTCCTACCCCCGGCTCATTTGCCGTGAAGCCCCTGTCACCGGAAGAAAAGGACAAGCCCGGACTCAAACACCGTGTTTCAAGCTGCGCCCGAAGATCTATAAAGCAGATTTCCGGAATGTGGATTCCGTCTCCCAGTGCATAGACTGGTGATAGGTGGAGTATCGATGCTGTTGTCGAGTTTCTGGTTATGTCTGAAAGGAATGGTTATGCAGTGTACTTTGCATTATTTGACTTCATTGTTTCGGCCCATGGGCTTGTGGACTATGTAGCCTTCTCGAAGAAAGAACTTACTGGGCCACTTGGAAAGCACTAGCCAGCAACATGGCTTATTTCCGCTGTGTGCGCGTTGCATTTCGAGCTCCGTACGGATCCAGGAATCAACATTTGTTTGTCCAATTACGCTTGGGGCTCCTAGCAGCACAAAACTCGAATGAGAAGCTACATTACTTGGTGAGGATAATTGAAGGTGGTGTGCTAGGGCAATCGAGTAGAGCCGTAGAAATGCAAATTGTGACGACCCCAGACAGCCGATCCGTGCCGATCGAAATCAGAAGGTTTTGAAAGCCGAAGCACAAGGGACGCCTTGTTGCGTAGATAAGTTGTCGTCGGTCGATGATTTGTCGAAGCCGATGAGAAGACGGCGGTGGCACGGTTCGCGTGTTGGCAGTACAGTGACGTCAATTCGCTTTGAATCCCACCTCCCACCGTGCTTTGATGCAGTAGCTACCTGACCTTTTATCAAAGAGCCCTCATGGTCGAACGAATGGCTGACTGGTCTGCCACAAGTGCTCCATCCCGTATCACTGTAGCAGCGTAGAACAAAGCTCCGGGTTTTCCGCTCTCGCCAGCTCTCCTCTATGGCAATAGACGGGATAACGTAATCATAGAGCTGAATCCGCGGACGATGGATGCTCTGGACATCTTAAAAATCATCACTCTCTGCATAAAGCGAGCCATCACCTTTGCCTGATCCAGCCTTGATGAGTAAAACCGCCAGTTTGACCTCATCGCTGCTCTTTCCACTGGTCTCATAGAACACGTTGACCAGGATATATAGAAGCCCGATGCTTTCCAAGTAGAGTCTGTGCCCATCGGCCTCGTGGTTGTTCCATCGAAGGAGAGCCTCAGCACTTATCAGCTTCGCGCCCGCCTCACCATTGACACCATCGTCCCAATTGGAAAGACCGCCTGCACAAATATATGTAGTCTGCTTCTCTCTGTCCTATGGGGAAGCCTGTTGCTACCACCACTATTACGACTCGGAGGGAAAGGGCCTAGGGGACTTGGACAGTGGCAGGCGGTACGCGGCCAAGCTTCAGTTTGTGGGGTTTAGTTGGAACAGGGGAGAGAATGAGAAGGTGTCAAAGTGGCCTAACAAAGCAGAGATTAAGAGATTTACCTGCGAGCCCAGGGAGGACGGAGTAGTTAAATTCGTGCAAGTAAATAAGCCGTTCATATTCGAAGTGTTCGATCAAGGATATAAACAGCACGCCATCGAAAGTTCAGAATCGCCCAGAAACATGCAAACGTGAAAGCCAAACAAGCCAACTCGCACACTCATCCCGACGCCGCAGAAGCCATGTGCTCGACATCCTTATACCAAAGCTTCAGCCCCGACGCCATGGCCACAACCTCCCACACCTCCCCAAACGCACCAGCCAGCCCGCTCCCCAGGAAAGCAAACCTCAACCCCTTGCTCGCACTCCACGACGCATTATGCGCGACCACCGCCACAATCTCCTTCCCGTCATTCGCAAACCCGCGACCCATCCCCGTGGGCCCGCCATGCTCACTCAACCTCACCAGCTTCCACCCAAACGAGGACCCCGTCGCAACCTCCTTGATATCCTCGCCGTGACTGCTCCGCCACTCGAACGCCTCCACCCTCCCATATCCAACATCGACCTCAAACCGCGCGGCCTCGCTCATCATGCTCGTCTTCACGCCGTGCACCTGCACCACGGCGTCGGATCCGCCCATCGCCGCTCCCGACGCCGTGACCACAAACTCCTTGTCCTTGTACCCTCTGCTCTGCACGCTCGCCATGACGGCGTGCTCCGGCCCCGTGCCCGGCCCCGCGTGCAGCGCGAGCGTCTGCTTCGACGAGAAGAGCGAGTCGTGCACTTTCAGCGCGTGCGTCCGGGTGTCTTTGGACGGGCCGAGGTAGATGGTCGTGCTCGATTTCCAGCTGTAGTAGCCGTTGATGGTGGCGGGGAAGACGCGGAGGGCGGGAGGAGGGGAGAAGGTCGTGGGCTGTGGGAAGGGTGCCGCGATGGGTTGTGGTGCGGCGGCGGTTCCGAAGTTTTGAGGATAGCTTTCGGTGTATGCGAAGTGGTTGGCGTGCTGTGGTGGTTGCACGGGCGCGTTGGGATAGGGATAGGGGACCGCGGTGTATGCGGGTGGCGGAGGTTGGAAGGGCGCTTGGGGCGCTTGGTAGAGGGGCTTTTTTTCGAAGCTCATGTTGGTGGTTTGCTGTGGGGTTGTGTTTGGGTTTTTGTCCGGATTCGTTTCTGTTCGTGTTTTGCTGTAGAGGGTGGGAAGAGAGACGGAGAGAATTTGTGGGAAAGTCTTGATGATGATGAAAGGCAGTGTAGTTTGGAGGACTGAGTGAAGGCCGTGTATCTATATGATTTCACGCGGTGAGCATAGCCTCCCTTTAAGCCTTGCTTCCCGCAACATAGCCTCTGCTACAGAAGCCAATGACGACACTTTCAGTGCGGATTGTCAGAGCTGAAAATTTGGGGGCGGAAACTATACGCGTATTTAAGAATCCTTCCGAGTGGCTGTGTTTCGCGATCGAGGCTAACTCTATTAGTCTAGACGCTAAGCTGTTTAGTGGGTTGTACGGAACAAGCACTGCCACTACTGTCAGTTTTAAGACTCTCAAACCCCACCTGAGTCTGATTTACGGCAGCCACATCTAAGCAATGGCGTTGCAAAGTGGATGACGAAGGAAATCGACCCTCCTACATGGGCAGCGAAATTCTATATATGGATGCATTTTGTGTTTTTACCGCTCGTTAACTACTTCAGCTACTAACGAAGAAAGGCGGTTCGAACTTATACTTACGTCGGTGTGTTGGCTTCAATGCCTACACGTGAAATCTCTGTAGGTCAGTTTCTCTTGTCACCCACTGTGTTTGCATCCTTGTTTAGATGTACGCTCATCCTCACGTAGCAGTTGTACCTACGTATCGTCCTGTCAGATTCATTACCGCTTGACTGAGGCAGGTATGCAGGACTCAAGGCATGAAAGGGGACACACGAAACAAACGATTGGATGTCTGAGCTCATGAGGCGGAACATTGAACTGCGGATTGTTCGTTTCTAGCTCTAAAATATGAAAGAGCGCGCGCGTTGAAAATTTGCCCTTCCCGTGAGATTTGAAGATGTGATGGTAGTGATGATGCATTTTTTCTATCTAAGAAGCGTCCATCTTGAACGCTTTTCCGATGGAAAATCCGATGAACACGTCGATGCTGGGACAGAAGTCTTCACCCCAGCCACTCCATACTCAGTGACATCATGGTTGTTCCACAGCGAAACGGTAAATAGATCATGTAGTCCAAATCTAGTTGTCTACCATGCTTTGCGGGTATCCGAAAGCCCTGTCGCACTTCTCCTCAAGGTAGATGTGCATTGCGTAGTAAACGTAAGAATCTGCGTTGTCGATGGTCCTCTTTGGCTTGCCTTTTTGGTTCAGAGCGTCAGGGGTGGTTTTGAGTGTGTAGCAGTTGTAAGCGTTGTAAACAGCATCTCCAATCTGCTTGGATGTCCCTGCCTTGCCAACGAGTGGGAAATGCATGACCTCATGCAGGACGTTGGCGCCTTGGAAGACACGGCTGATGTGGTTTGTATCGATGTGATCAGGCATGCCGGCACAGTTATCCCTGAGATACTGTTCGGTGTAATCCTTGAGGTTCAACCGCCTGAAGAACTTGTCGCAGTAGTGCATTCCGTAATACTTCTTATCGCGCGGCATGTAGTACGCGGTACCAGTACTGCCGTCTGGTTTGACGACGTCGCAGAAGTTCTGACCCCGCTCTTCGACGTACCAATAGTCGTCCGGGAAGACGATGAGCTGGCCGAGCACGTTGGCGCCCTCGTGGTCGTGGTTCTCGCCCACAAAGTTCTTGAAAACATCGCGAACTTTTCCCTCGTAGTCTTCATTCTCCACATCGCCAAACCACGCCGAAATCTTATTCTTGTGTTTCTCCTTGCCCATCTTGTCGAGCACCACGCTGGCAACCTCAACCGCATCCTTCAAACCTTGCCTGAGTACTTCTTTGCGATTGTCGTCCAGGATGCCATCAACGTTGAAGAGGGCTCGCTTGGTAAGACTTGGTTCCTGGCCGCCATCCAGTGCGTAGAGTTTGCGAGCCTCGAGGGTTGGGTTTGTGTAGTTCGTAGGGATGGCATTGCCAAATTGCGAGAGGGCGAGGATGCCGACTGTCACAGACTTAAGAAAGCCCATCGTTGGAAGGTGAATGATATGGTGTCTTTCGGCTGGGAGCTTAAGCGTGATTGGGTGGGAAGTAGTGATTCGTTGATTGTGGTGTTTTGTCTGATGCTTTGGTCAAGAATTCTGCGGGCTTTATGTCGATGGCGGAGGTCATGAAAAGCCACGCTGCGGAAGCATGGGATACGGACAGCGCTGCTGTTTTCCGAAAACGTCTTTGGGTGGGTCAACTTTGCATGTTGCATAGGCGTCTCCGTATCCGAGTTTGAAGTGCTCTGATGCCTGCATCCACTGAGTGTGACTCGGTCCGTCCGTGTTGACCTGAGGGTAAATTAATTGGGGATGCCTGGCTAGGCGTCAAACGGACGGTCGGAAATGTATGCAGTTGGCGGCACAGCATGCTCGACCCAGGGCAGAGGTTGTGAGGTTGAGCAATCGCGGGACATATGGTCGCTGTTGCGAATACACGGTCGGTGATGGACGCAGTTGGCGGCACACCATGTCAGTCACTACCAAGGAGAGGTTTCAAAAATCAGCCACAGCGGGACGCCTTGTTGGGTTGCAAACTGCGAAAAGACGGTCGGTGATGGACGTTGTTGGCGGCACAGCATGTCGGCCACTACTTGATGCGTAATCCTGCTGTGCCGCTGTAGTACTATTCGTGGAGAGGTCACATGACGTCAGTCCGACTTGGCCCCATCGTGTGGGCAGCCGCCATTACACGCTTAAAAGAGGCCTGGGGCCCGGGTTTGGGATGCTGCAACCTCCAAACTCCAACCCCCAATCATGGCTTCGGATGACAACCCCCCGGAAGCCCCTCTCGCCCTACAGCTCCAGCAATGGTGTGGCTTCGGCTCTGATATTTTTCAGCTCAATAAGCTGCACCTGCCATGCTGGGGAGCACGCATTCAAATCACCACCTTCGATTCGGAGCGCACTGTCATATTTGCCTGCAACGCCCCTGTGCACCACCATTCGGACACCACACCTACAAGAACCCATCACTACCAGAAGCTCGATCTCGTCGGTGCCCTACGCTGCGGCCTCCTTGAACTTGTCGATCAAACCACGCAGGAGATAGTTCACCTTCCCCCAGAAGAAGGGGAGTCAGTAGTGGATGAGCCCGTCGTAGGTTGCGTCGAGATACCGCCCCAGGAAAATCCTCGAGATGGCCAGAAGACGATTGCACTCGGCCCCGATCATACCGCGCCGATCTGGAAGGCGGTGCTGCAGCCCAACAAGACTTACAGCGTGCGCTTTTCCAAGTCAGGTGGCGACGCATGGTGCTACTACCCCGACTCTCCCGACCGGCGCCTCCCCGTTCTCCGCGAACCCGGCGAGACGCACTTCACCGTCTACGCCGACCCGCCCGCGCCGACCTGCTCCGCGACTCTCAGCGTCGAGCCGAGCGTCTGCCACAACTCAGGCTCACCGCCATTCAAGTTCGTCACGACCGTCACGCTCGACCCATCTGACGCCTTCGACGGGCCGGTGACGGTGGACATGTACGGGACGTCGTTCAACAGCGGCGACCTGAACGGGCGCAGCCGGCTGAGCGAGAACTACGGCGCCATCACCAGCGTCGGCGAGCTCGTGCGCTGCGTCGACGTCGAGACGGGCGTCGAGGTCGACTTCCCATACGTCAACCTGTGCTGGTTCGACAACGCGCACCTCGAGTTTCCCGACGACGACTTCTTCGTCGAGCTGTGGCCCGGCAGGCCGTGGCGCCACGAGTACACGGTCGAGCTCCATGGCCGGAGTAGCATTGGTGGCTTGGAGCACTTGGTGGCGGGAAAGAGGTACAAGGCCGAGTTGAATGCCGATGTTTTCGGGAAGTGGATGTACGGTAGAAAGGAGGATCTTCTGAAGGGGACCAGGCAGGAGAAGGAGGAGAGGTGGGAGTCAGGCCCGAGGGGAAGACCCAGGATATTGCTGACACAGGTCAATGAGCCGGTGGAGTTTGACGTTGTGGAGTGAGGATGGTAGGAGACAGGAATCGTAGGTCTTCCAGCATAGAAAATCACCTGCTATTGATTATAAAGCTGTCGAAAGTCATGGGGCTACAATTGGAAGAGCGGCGAGGTCCCGATGTTGTATTGAGCTGATCTGAACTTTAAGTAAATGAGCATGGCATCATCGAGATGACATCGCTCGTGGAGAGTTCGTCCGCTAAATCAAGTCATCTAAAAGAACTGTACGACCGACAAAGACCGTGTACACTTTCCGCACACAGAAGCGGTGGCCTCTCGGGACAATCACGCATGATCCCATCAGCCACACGAAACGCCGCCGCGTAGAAGTCAGCCCTGCGTATCTCAAATTCCTCCTGCACGAACCCCGCGCCAGCTTCGGCATCCGCAACCATTCCCGCCAAGCAAGCGTAATGGCGGTCAAGCAGAGCATAGGCCTCTTCAGAAATGGCGTCGTCCAGCCAGTCCAGCAGCACGTTGACCTGGTCGCTGATCTGGTCCGGCGTCGACGGGGCGGGAAACCCGTGGCGGGCGGAGCGAGTAGCCAGGGAACTGTAGCAACGGTGCTTGACCGCGCGGAAGGCTTTGTCATCCACAGCGTTGACGTGATGGCCCATTTCTAGAAAGTCCTTTGCGTAATTCGTTATCGCATCACCATCCCGCCGGAGGGCATAGAGGAAAAAGTGAACCATTTTGTAATGCAGCACGTCGCCGACCTTCTGGTGGTATGGTGCGGCCGGCAGGCGAGGCTGTGCCAAACCCTCCTTGGCTTGCTCTGTGGGAGTTGAGGATGGGAAGGGCTGGGGGCTGGAACTGGGATCCCGTGGCACATTGGGAGGTGGTACGAGCGGGGGTTCATTGCCGGGTGCTGTGAACTCCGGGTCTGCCTCGGTGGGTGGCAGTTCCTGGGCAAGAGCCAGCTGCGGATCAAAAGCTGCTAGCCGACCCCCTTGATCAGGCTCCGAATCCGAACCGGAAGGAGCCTGGCGGGGATGTTTGTGAACTACAGCACCCTCATTTGACGAGAATCCAGCTTCAGCCTTCTTCCGTTTAGTGGTGGTTGTAGTCTGGGCCGCGACACCTTTGGACAAGAGGGCAGCCGGGAGCGGAGATGTCCTCCAACCCACCTCAGGCCCTGAGCTACTGTCTGGATTCAGGTCTTTCTCATTGTACGGCGGCGGATCAGACGGAACATCATGGCGACTGTAAGGGTAATCCACCTAGTTGTTGATGAGACCACGGATACCGTCGCTGTAGATGGAGCCAAGGTCAATCTTCGGTTTACTGGCACAACCCGAGCAGAGTAGTCGGCACACATTGTCGAGCTGGTGTTGTATGGTACTGTCACCCACGAGATAGACATCCAGACTCCTCGCCTTGCACATTGATTTGAGACAAATAAGCCGGGTTCTTGTAGGGCCTGTGACGCGCCTACCAAGCTGGCCAGGCCGCCGTGCGAGCTCAGGCATGACTACGTACGGTGCTCCCGAGTCGGAGAGTTCGAAGTGGATACGATTGTAGGAGGGTGCATGGGGTAGATGGTTGCGCACGTTCTCGGGCACAGCGTTGACGAGATGCCTTGTCATGGAGAGAGCCGGTGTAGGTAAGATGACGTACATGTCCCGAGGCTTTTTGGTCCTTGCGGCAGGGGTCCAGACAGAGAGATGGAACTTGACCAGCACGGCATGTTCTTCGCCTTCGCTCGCGTAAACTTCCAGGCTCAATCCCCTCTTGCTATCGTCGCATTTGTCATTGGTCGGGGAAAGGCATCCGAAGTACTGTTCATCTCCCTCATCTTGACCATTCCATGTTACCAGCACTTGCTCCTTCATCACACGGGGAAGCCCTCCCCAGCCAGGCATGTGGGGATTGTCATCAGGCATTGGTGTACAGGGTTCGTCGGAGAAGAAAGGAAGCAGCGACTGCTGCAGGGACTAATTAGCTAAATACAACAAGGAGGGCGGAGAAAGTAAGAGCCCTGCACAAGGCAGATCCCACCCACCCAGGCTTTAGGGAGCGGACACGCTCGCGAGCAGCCTTGACTCGTCCGGAGCAAAGCGAAGTCCCCAACTTGGTGCGGTTATCAAGCACGTAGCGCGTGAGCCAGAACAAGGGCACTGCGGCGAGCCGAAGGAGCGCGTGTCCCACGACAAACTGAGCCCTGTAATGAAGAGTCTCACTTCGCCACGGGTGCGCGCCAGCTATCAAGACAGACGCCGAGGCCGGTTGAGCTCAGGCTAAGGCGACAGCGCAGCAGAGGAAGGGGACGCTCGGCGGAGCAGAATGGCGGTGCCGCTTTCGCGGTCGCTGCAACAGGCCCCAGAGTATGCTTTTCAATGGGACCCGCAGTGCACGCACCGCGGACGATCGAATGGTATGCTCTGGCGAAATTTTATGGTCTGCTCTGAACGGCCGAGGCTTCGGCGGCGGGAGGCTGTCCACGATGAAACAGCGAGTGTGGAACAAGGCGCTGGGCCGTGCGATGATGCGTCTGGAAGCAATGAACGGTGGGTGGTAAGGTGTCGCAGTAGCAATAGATGGTAGCCGCGATGAAAGCGAGATGAAGCGATGGGTTGTGGTGGCAGGGTGGGTGAGGGCGGGGCCGAGGAAAGGAAGCGGAGGTCGGCGGGCGCGCGTTGAAGCTGGCGTTCGCGGTTCAACCAAGTCACGTGAGCGCGCGAAACCGCGTTAACGCCGCACTCTCCGATTGTCATCCGCTGGACCTTGTCTACGCCTGCCTAGAAGGTATTCCCATTTGAGATACAGTGAGAAAGGAAGCCGAACACTCTTTATACCAGCACCGTTGCGCACTAGCGGTGTACTTCCAACCGTGATACCAAATCGATTTGATGGTAGGTGTTTACATTGGTATACGTAGCTATGACGTAACACCCACCCTATGGAACAGTTCAAACCCTCCGCACTCCAATCCACTACCACATCGCCAGCGGATTCGTCGCGTTCTCCGGCCTCTGCTGCATCACGTCCCAATGCTCCCTCACACACGTTCCCTCCAGCCTGAATATATCCACCACCGCGCTGGGCTGCGTTGCGCCCGCCACATCCAGCCGATAATGCACCCAGCCCCGGTCAGCATCGAAGCCCTGGTTGATGATGGTGTAGTTCACAGCCGAGGAGGGGAACCCGGAGAGGGCGTCGATGGCGACTTGGCGGCCGGAAAGGAAGGACGGGTTGTGCTGGATGTAGTCCTCGGCGGCGTGGTCGAGCAGGGCGCGCGTGGCGTTCTTCTCGATGAGGAACTTCTGGATGAAGGAGGAGAAGATGGCGCTTTGCGTGGCGGCCGAGGCGGCCCGCGGTGGGCAATACGGCGCGCCATCGTCGACGGCGGTGCTGAGGGCGCCCTCACTCGAGGTTGCCGGCTGGGGGTTGGCCACGGCGAAGGGGACGAGGAGGGTCAGAGCGGTGGTGACCGCGACGGTGAGGAGGCGCATGATGGTGCTTTGCTTCTGGGGGTGGATGCTGGTTGAGAGGAGGTGGAGAGAAGTGGTTGATTGGACGATGCAGCTAACTTGCAGCTCTTTTTATACCCCTCCCCTTTTCAATGCCTCTGGATGGCCGGCTCTCACAGCGGAAGCGAGTAGCCCCGTCCACGGGGCTTGCTCTGTGCCGCCAAGTCGACTCATCACTGATTAATGCAGGACAGACTATAGGCACGAGATCAACACTTGCCAAGTTGTGGACAGATTTTTACACTGTTTAGCTGTATCTGGGGAGTGCTATATACCGACGGATGGTGCCGGAGGGAAAATACGGGCTGGGCAGGTTGTGAGGTGCGCTTGGCGCATTACAAATTGGCTGAGCCGGTGGGCTGCCTCCTGTTGCATGTTGCGAACAAGCGATGGGATGATCGATAGGAACGGGTAAGCGGTGTAGCCAATGAGTCGGCTCCAGTCGGCTCCAGCAACGGCCGGGATGGTGCCAAGGTGCTTGGATGATGGCGTGCCTGAGGCAGAATAAGGTTTCGGCAGTTGCGTCGGCGGGATCCCGTGCACTTCGGCACCTGTGCTGCATCATCACCACCGCTTCGACCCAGTTCCTTGATGACGTCCACATCTCGACGCACTTTGGGACCTGTATACTTGCATTCACAGCAAGAATTGCCAAGCTGTTGAGCAACGCTGTACAAAGATCAAATCGCTACGATGGCGAGTTGCTCGAGTTTATGCGGTAAGCGTGGTGATATTGCCGGCTTGTAACCCCCTTGCTCAAACGCTTGCAAGGTCTTGCCGCTTATTGCGACCCGTATCGCCGTCTTTGAGGAGTGGACTGCCCATTGTAGTCGCACTGGTGACCCCCCTCGATGCAGCGCGTGCACCTAAGATGAACCCTACCACATCCGAGCTTCCTGCGACGGCAGGAGGAGCATGCCGGTCCTCTATTCCCCTTGATTTCTTTTATCGGTTGCGCTGGCTGTGCCTGACCCCACGGGTGAGTGGTTCTTTATTTCTCTTGCTTCTTGTTATTCGTTGCGTTGACTGTGCTTGGACCTCATTGGTGAGATCTGGCAAGGGATCCGGCAAGGCGCCGCTGGCGCAGCTGTTGCAGAGTATCGCAGTGCGTTCAAGTTGGCCGCGCCACCATCGCCGCTCGGTCGTAGCAGTTCCGCAACTTTGACACTTTCTGGTCTCGGATTGGTCAAACAGACGGTCTGTGTCGACCCGACGCCGCGGTCCTGAGAATGAAAAGACGAGTGGACTGCAGGAACCCAGTCGCGCCAATCCAATGCTCCAGATCCTTCAAGGTGCGCGGGAACGGCATTTCAGTGAGCGCCTTGGTCCGTTCTTGGGTAGATCCGAGCCCGAAGGCGTTGACCCTCTGGCCCAGCAGGGTCGCACACGGGTACTCGATGAAACTCTTCGACGGTGATAAAGTGATACCGTACTCGCTGATCCGTTGGAAGAGCTGATCGAGATGCAGCAAGTGCTCCTCCAGGGTCTTATCAAACGCGGTGATGCCGCTCGGATTGTATGGCAAGAGAACTGTATCAACTTCGTCTGGTACAGCAGGCAAGGTGAGCCCCACAAATCTTGGAGGCTCCGCCTGCGTGTCCATGTAGCGGAAGACGGTTCGCCCGTTGGGCTTGACTGTGATGACGGGATCTCGGAGTGCGTCGCGGAGCTTCTTCTCGACAGTTTGCTGCGGGCCACACGTTAGCCATGGCACCAAGTCGTCAGTGGACAGGAACATGCGCGTCGGCCCATGAGCTCCTTTGATGTTGAGCCTCACAAGCGCGTCAACCATGGCTGAGCCAAGCCAGCTTTCGTTGTCGCGACGGTTTGGCCACAGCTGACAAAGCCCGAGGAACGGGATCCTGCAGCCGTCTGAAATGTCGTATCCAGTGGTAACCTCCACCGGGTAGCCGTCGCTGGTTTGATAGAGAAGGCCCTCATCTTCAGCCACCACTCTCATAAGCATCAAGAGCCCCTGCATCTGGCGAGCCGTGTCTTCGCCCCTGTTGGCCTGCTCATAGAATCCGGGCAGGTGGGATCTCGCGAAGCAGAGGACCGGATCGGTTTCGAAGGCATCCGGAGGCGTGGTGCTGGCGGTCTGAGGCTCCTGCTCCGCGCTGAACACGTCTCCGATGGGGGTGCCGCTTCGGGAAACTTCTCGGCCGCACTAGCGCCGTTTGGGCAGGCATCCAGATGGCAGGCAAGTCCAGAGGGCAGGCGCCATCCTCCCCCGAAAACTTTTTCAAGGCGCGTCTTTCGCCCTTCACCCTTCACCCTGCACAGTCTCGCAGTCTTGCAGTCTCGAAGCTACTGGCTCCCAGTGTGCTTTACCGCAGTCTCACAGTCACTGGCTCCCAGTGTGCTCATTCAATTTCCGTTTCTCACAGCCATTTGTCTCCAGTGAGCTCACATTACCTCATCTCTGGGCATTTGCAGCTCATAGCTATTGGTTCCCAATGTGCTTGGTCTTGTCCCGTCCCGCTCCCCGTAGCTACTGGCTTCCAGTGAGATTAGGTGGACGTATCCATAATCAACCTGTGTCATGCGCCCAGTGTTCTACAAGCAGGAACCCTGTCTCATGTTCCTTGCTCATGCCACGCACACAATATCATAGATGTTACTCTCAAGGCACTGAAGTTGGCCGTGGCGTCTTCAATTGGCGGCTGGGCAGATTGGTTGCGTTGTTTGTACAATGCTGTTATTTTGTACATACCTAGTGTAGACTTGGCTCACCAACCTTTGCCATCCCTGAGATCAGCTCTAGACTCGTCTAGGCTCCTCCACGGTTTCCGCCTCTACTTCCACCTCTGCCGCCGCCTCTGCCGCCGCCTCTGTTATTGCCGTCTCTGTTATTGCCGCCTCTACCGCCATGTTGCATCCCCGCAAATTGGCCTTGCTGAGCCAAGAGTCCGGAAGGTGTTTGACCGGACCGAACGGTTCGACTAGCTCCCTGGATAAGATCGTTAAAACCCGGACCTTCAATCCTGCCACCGCTAAGCCCTTGGGTAAGGTGAGGCCCGGTGACGAAGTCACCCTTTGCATCCAGGTGCTTCAACAAGCCGCAGAAGACTTTGAAGACTCCATTCGGGAGCAAGAGCGTGCTGTTGTGGTTGTGGTATTCGTTCATCCAACCTCGGAAGTTCCCCAGTATGAAGAGCCAGTTTTTGGCGCGCGACATCTCGACGTTGAGCAGGCTGCCGTCTTTGACGAAACCGACGTTGAGCGCATTCTCGTGGTCGTTGCGGACGAGCGAGACGATGACGATTGGGGCCTCGGAGCCCTGGGCTTGCGACGTAGTCTTCAAACAGAGGTTCAAGACCTTGAGACCTGGAATGTTCCGCGTCAGCAGCTTCCGCTCAATCAACTGGATCTGAGCTGTGTAAGGCGAAATCAGAAGGATATCCTTTGGTTCTATCTTCCTTTGACCCTGGTCCTCGTTGGGGGGTGTAGCCAAGAACGAATTGGACGAGTTGTACGGCAAGCTCGGCCTCCGTCTCGTTGCACTGCGACTTCGTTCCAGGCAGGACTGAAGAGGCGACGATCAAACCCTCTTCGACGCGGGTCGACACATCGACCGAGACTCGCCCACCCAGCGGACAAATTGGTTAGCCGGAAGTCGTGTTACGGCCTGGAACTTCCGGAAGGCAACTTCCACAGCCTCATGCTTCGAAGCGCAGACGAGAACTCTGTAGTTACACTGGGCGAGACCTTCCACGATGGTTTGCCCAAGGGCGGTCTTGCCAGTGCCAGGCGGCCCCACGATGAGCTCGAGGCCTGTCAAACTCTTGGTGATCTTCATGGCTGCCTGCTTTTGCCTGTTGTTGAAGCCAGGCTGGCTGCTGTCGATGACCCTTTCGTAGACCTCTTGTTGCTAGATGTTTCCCTCGAAGTCTTGCTGGATCACAGCGACGTTCTCAACCGTGGGCTCCCTGAGGTGGAGTAGTGCACCGATGTCTACGCCGCTATCCTGCCTCTTGTTAGCACCCAGAAGCATTGCGTTGATGTGGCGAGCGGTCGTTGTTATGTCGTCGATGAGCTCGATCTGTCCAGCGATGGGGACGCCCATTTTCGCAAGGCCTATTCCTTGACAGAAGACCGCGAAGTGAGAAGTTCCCTTGTAGAGATCTTCGGTAACGTAACCTATGAGCTTAATCTTCGCAAGCTTCGTCGATCCTCCTACAGAGGCTCGGACCGTCGGGACAACGCGAGAGTCGGGGGCCGGGAGGCGTACGTCGTCGCCTGCATCCGCGGAAATGGAAGTGAGGATGACCTCAACCAGGAACTGGCCATTCTTCTGCGAGTTCTCGGTGAAGCTCATGGTGCAGTCGGCTTTGCGGTCCGTGAGATACCGGCTGATGGTCTTCGATTGGGTTTCTGCCGCTCTCTGTGCGCCGAGAGTGACCAGGAAAGCGGTGTCCTCTGGACAGAGGATCTTTGGCAGACGGAACGTGCTCCACTTAGCTGGAACCATGTTGAGAGGCATGCCTTTCTCGTCGTATTCCACCTCGAATACCGACACTAACCATCTGGGAACGGCTAAGCCTTTGAGCGCGAAGTGATGACTGAAGAGGCTGGCACCCTCTGGGTTCTGCTTCCGGTAGAACCAAAAGTGACCGATCGTCAAGGAAGCCTTCATGAGGGTCTGCCAGTACAACATGCAGCTCTCGTAGGCCCGCGCGTGCTGCTCATCCAAGGAGACCTTGGTGAATATTTGAACCACACTAACGCCTTGTGCTAGGAGGCCGACGAGCTCTTCCTGTCCGGATAGCCCCTCAACTGGTTCCCAGTCACGACGCTCCGGGTCGTCCCCAACCGGTTTCCCCGATTCGAGTACTTCGCGCATCATCACCCGCAGTTCATTGACTCGACCGGGGTTAATGCCATGGAACTTGATCCTTGACTTCTCTGGCTCCGGTGCACCATGCTCATGTCGAATGCCGGGTCTGTGAAGTACCCTGGCGAGTCTTTGGTGAACTCCTTGGAGGGTGGTACCTTGTCCCAGGACACAAGCGTCTTTGTCGTGCGGGCTGGCTCTTCTTCGGTACCCCCCATGATGACCAAAGGTGCATGCATTGCATGCGAAGAGGCAGAGGCGGAAGCCATTGCCAAGAGTTCTGTGTGGTCCGTGATATACACTGGACAAGGGTCCCCGAAGGCTACCCTGTTACAGAAGGTGGGACTACAATGAAGTAGCCCACCGTAGAGAGCAGACGGTAGTCTGTCTCGAGGGAAGCCGATTCAGGGCCGGCTGAGCCACGTAGAGGAGGGGAAGGAAGAGTGAGGCGGGGAGGATGAGGGAAGAGGTGTCGAGCACGCCAGAAGGCGCCCGGAGACGCAGAATCGTCGGCGGTCGCGCGACGATGGGGGGGAGGGGGAGGAAACACCAGTCGCGGGGGTTTGCACTGGCGGTGTCGGATAGAGAGAAAGAAAAGGAAGAGAGAGGGCGAGCGAGCAGAGTTTGGTGTCGCGTAGGCGGGCAGAGAAAATGACGCTAACCCGAAATGGACAGCACAAAACCGGATGTTCACCAAACAGTGGCCGCTCTCACTCTCACCTGGCCTTACGCTGCTTTCTGACCTTGCGCCGCTTTCACTCTCACCTGGCCTTGCGCCGCTTTCTGGCCCTGCGCCGCTTTCACTCTCACCTGGACTTCCGCCGCTTTCTGGCCTTGCGCCGCTCTCACTCTCACCTCACTCTCACCTGGACTTGCGCCAGCGTGACCTTTGTCCTATCGTCAAGCGATATAAAGCCCTGCTTGGCCACTTCTACATCGACGCCGCCATCCAACCCCCCTTCTTGCCCCAATTCGCCACCAATAACACCTACCACATCGCCGTCTACAACGCCTAGCCTCCCGTCGAGCCCCGCGATACGGCGCGTATCTTCAGCCCCACTTCGCCACTACAAACCCCACAGCGTGCCGGTGGGACCAGCGGAGAGTGATGCTGCCCTTGTCTATAACGATAACGGCGAGAGACTGGCCACGCTTAACCTCGCGAACCCGGAACATCTACGGCTAGAGGCACCGCCGACGTATTTCGACAATCTACTCGCCGGTATTAACGCTACTTGAAACTATACTTTTAGCTCTAGCGTTGACTACTAGACGGAGTTATTAAATTATACGGTTAGTAAGGGCAGGCGCCGCCTACTTAACTCGCGACCGGCTCGCCATCCTCACCTGAAAACATTTTCATGGCGCGTCTCTCACCCTTCACCCTTTACAGTCTCGCAGTCTCGCAGCCACTGGCTCCCAGCGTGCTTACCACAGTCTCGCAGCCACTCAATGGCCAGCCACCTCAGTCCCACTCAAGAGGAACGCCCGCAAGATGATCTAGTCAAAGTGCTACTCCAGCAGGACATGGCAGCGGCTGTCAGGAGTAGCGATGGTTTCACTGAGTCGGATACCAGGGAGTTTGTCACCGGCTTTACGCGGTATGTCAGACGGAAGATGCCACGGACCAGATGATAGACAACACTGAACTGCCGGACCAAATTCCCAGTTGAAACAGTGGACCGAGGATCCGATTAGCGATGAAGTTCCACAACCAATAAGCTGGGCTCTCATTGCCACGACCATTCGCCTCCTGCTGCAAAACACCAGGCTAACATTACTTATGCACCCGACCACAGTGGCCAGACATATTGCTCACGCTACTCGTGCCGTGTCTGCTAGCCTTGATCTTGAATCGTGGCAAGATAAGGACTCCGCCTCAACGGCCTGCTAGTCAGCACCAAGGCCTCCACACGAGCTCATATTAAACCCATTACGACTTCGCACGGGTTGAACATGTCAGCTCCAAAGCTTCGCGGTGTGCCAAGTTCAACCTATGGAAGTCATCTCAGTTCAACCGAGTCCTTCGGCGCAAGAGCCGGTGAAGAGAGTAGCTTGCACCCGTTGCCGCACGCAGAAGCTCAAATGTCTCAAATCACCGCAGGCGTCGGCGTCGAACCGGTGCGACCGCTGCCGCAAAGCAGACGCCGAATGCAACTACGCGGCATCACGACCGGTTGGACGGCCCAAGGCACATCGGAGATCATCACGTAGTCCCAAATCCCCACCGCCGCCGAGCACGACAGACACGGTGGTGGACCACCAGCAGCCGCTTTACCTGGACGAGAACTACTTCAACACGCTGCTGGCCGAGACGCCGACAGACGCCACCATGCTGGACGCACACGGCTTCGACGACCTGTTCTACCACGACCCCGTCCCCTCTCCCGGCGACCAAAGCGACTCCACATGCGCCAGCCTCGGATCATCGGCAGCAGCAACCGCGTCCTCATCCGCAACCGCCACCACGAGCGAGCACCAGCCCAACCCTCTCCTCACCCCACCCTCCAGCCACAGCAACAGCTTCTCCTTCCCGCCCGCCCCCACCCCTCCACACCCACGCAGCGCGCTCCCTCCTCCCCCCCACCACGCCGCGCTGGCATCCACCCCCCTCTCGGCGGCGCCAGACCCCCGGCGCGCGATGCAGCACCTCTCGGACCTGGGGCTGCGGCTCTACACGCAGACGGCCAAGTACCAGGACGCGGACTTCGCAGACCACTCGGACCCCGCGCACCACCTCGGCTCGCTCGCGGCCGACGTGCTGCGCAGCTCAAACGACTACCTGGCCACCATCTCGCTCTTCTCGCCGCCGCACCAGCACCAGCACCTCGACATCGCCACCGCGTTCCAGCTGCTCATCCCGTACGTGCGCCTCGTGCAGCTGTACGACCGCCTGCTCGAGGCGATGCTGCGGCGCTTGTCCGGCGACGCCACGACCACGCCGACGGCGTCTGCGAGCGGCGGGTGCGAGGCGTCGGCAGCGGCGTCGTCGTCGTCGTCGGGATTCCCAGACGTGTGGGTGGGCGGGGTGTGCGTCAACGGCGGCGGCGGCGGCGGGGGGGCGTTCGGGGCGCGGCTGCTGCTGCAGATGTGCATCTGCGTGCTGGGCGAGATCGAGAACGTGCTGGCGCTGCCGGGGGAGGCGAGGACGTGCAGCGGCGAGTGGGCGGCGGGGGACGAGGGCGCGGCGATACGAGGTGAGGGGGGGATTTTGCCGCAGGCGGTGTCGCCGCGGCTGTTGAGGATGATGCTGGAGGAGCGCGGTACTGGTGGCGGCTGCGGCGGTGGGGGTGTGGATGTGCAGGCGACGAGGGAGAGGATTGCGGGGGTTAGGCGGCTGTTGGGTGGGTGCGGGACGGGGGTGTGATTGGGTGTTTTTTTTTTCCTGCTCGCTTGCTTCTCTTGTTGATTGCTTGTTTGCGCTTGTTTCTTCGCGAGTCGCTCGCTCGGTTTTTTTTTCTCATGTAAATATACGGATTGATGAAGATCACGGAGCGTCGGGATTTATTGGGGCGCCTTGGAGAATCCAGATAGCAATAGGGCGTGCACGCGGCGAAACTATCACTGGGTACGGACACGGTGCGTGGCGACCGATTACCCCGCGGTGAATCCCACAGGGGGGGCTCCACAGTGGGCGATAAAAGAGATTGCAATGCCTACGGCGATCGGTCGGGTGGGCAGTTGAAGCAGCCATAGGGAAGCGATAACGTACCACCCTCGAAATCTTAACGTACCACCCCCCCCCCACTTAGTGGTAATTAGCGCAGATCGCTCGGTAATAACGAATGTATAATATATACCTTTATTATTTTCGTTATAGACGAGTTCTTAGCAGCACTTATATATATTAGTATTATTACACTTATTCGTTGTTAACGAAGGGAGAGAATTTATTATATAATTTAAAGCTATCTACTCGCTAACCTAATCTTATCGTTTATACTAAAGCCTAAATAGTAATTAATAAGGGTAAGTAGTAGGCGTACGGTACGTAACTAAGGCCGTTAGAGTAGGCCTAGTATTTAAGATAGCGTAAACGATATCCTTTATAAGATTACGCTACTTTTAATCTATCGCCTAGCGCTTCGTTAGTAACGAACGGATTTAGAGTTAATATTACGTATCTTAAACTTATTTAAAGCCGTCTACCGCTTAGTCTAACTACTAATCGAGATTAGTTAAGCCTCTAAAAACGCATTCTCGTATACGTAGCTATAGGGTAAGGTGTCTTCGTCTAGGACGATCTAAGTATCGTAGATAATATTATTTTCGGTAGGTATAGGGGTATTTAACGCCTAGTAGGTATAGTACTTTAGCGAACCACCCGTAGAACGCTAAAAAGTTATACTATAATTTACTCGTTAGTAACGAATTATAATAAGAAGGGCTCGTTCTTATCGAATAAACTCCTCTATTTTATCTTAGGTATTTTAAGGCTTCGTATACGGGCTCTAACGAGCCGTATACGCTTAAACCCGACTTTCTTTATAGTTAGTTCGTTTATAACGAAGGGGGGGGGTTAAACTTACGCCTTTCTTAAATTACTTAAGCTCTACTATAAACCGTCTATACGCCTAGCCTAATTAGCCGTATAGAATCTTAGAACTTAGCTAGCTTAGCTAAAGCCGCTCTAAAAACTAGTACCGGCTAGATAGCCGGGAAGAGTAAAGAAAGATTAGAAAGATATAGCTATCGTTAATAACGAAGTAAACTACTATAGTATAAGAAAGAGAAGTAAGATCGTAAGAGACGTTAGTTATATACTAAATCTTTAGTAATAGCGAGTATAAGTAGCTATTCGGCTATACGGCCTAAGAGCGCTAGCTACTTAGCCGCGCTACTTACGCTTACTATTAACGAGCGCTAGCTATCCGGCTATATAGCCTAGAAGCGCTATTAACGAATACTAGCTACTTAGCTAGCTACTTACGCTCGCTATTAACGAGCGCTAGCTATCCGGCCGTACGGCTTACGAGCGCTAGCTACTAGACCGTATAGCTTATACTCGCTATTAACGAGTACTAGTAGTATAGTTAAATAGCTAATTTTATAGCTAAATAGCCGAATAGCTAGCCCTCGCTACTAGCGAGTATAAGCTATACGGCCTAGTAGCTAGCGCTCGTAAGTTATATAGCCGGATAGCTAGCGCTCGTTAATAGCGAGCGTAAGTAGCTAGTATTCGTTAATAGCGCTTCTAGGCTATATAGCCGGATAGCTAGCGCTCGTTAATAGCGAGCGTAAGTAGCGTAGTACTCGTTAATAGCGAGCGTAAGTAGTATAGTAGAGTAACTAGCGCTCTTAGGCCGTATAGCCGGATAGCTACTTATACTCGCTATTACTAAAGACTAGCTAATAATAAGTACTTATATAGTATTCGTACTAAACGAAGAGCGAGATAACTAGCTATACGCCCTTACTAGTATACGGCTATAGAAGAACTACTATTCGCCCGGAACGAATATCTATTAGTATTATTACGGTAGTACGATTAGGTATATTAGTAGAGTAGGTTCGCTATAGGCGAATACTACTAGTAGAGCGAAATAATACTATAGTTCGCTATAAGCGAATATTACTAGTAGAGCGAAATAATACTATAGTTCGCTATAAGCGAATACTATTAGCGGGGCGAAATAATACTATAGTTCGCTATTAGCGAAGTAGTAATATTATATAGATATCGTTAGTAGCGAAGAGGAGAATACTTAAAAGAATAGTAGAGCTCGTTACTAGATTAGCTATACTAGAGTTTATACTCGTTCTAGACGAAGATACTAGACCTCCCGCTATATTATAGTAGCCGGTGGCTATAGTAGCCGTAATAGCTATAGTAGCTATCGTAGCTACGGAGGCTATAAAGACTACGAAGAGAAAATAATATAGACTTATTTAAACCGAGTAGGGGTAGAAGATAGAATCGGTAGTAATACTACGTTATTTAATCTACTCGTTTCGAACGAAGAGGGTCTCTTCTTATACTATATACTCTAAATTCTATTAGGCGTGCCGATGCTCTTAGTCCTATCCTTTATCGGCGCCGAATAATCGTAGGTTTATAGTAGACGGGCGTTTCTAGTTCTATCGTTAGTACCGAGTCTCTATTAATCTACTAGTATCGGTCGAATAACCGAGAATTAAGAAAGTATCTTCGTTCTTATAAAAGCGTAAAGAGTATTTAGTAGTATAGTCGGCTATATATCGCCTTAAACGAACTAGTATATTATCTTCGTTAGAAACGAGGGTTAGACTAGCTCTTAATCTAGTTTTACTTAGCCTTAGTAAGCTTAAGGGAGGTCTATATTAACGCGTAGCGGTAAATCTAACTCTAATAGTAGTTCTAGAACTCGCTACGAACGGCGGTTAGACGCTAAATATTATTCTTCGCTTCGTCGTAAACGATTATCGTAGTAGTAAGCGCCTACTACGTCTCTAGCCTACGAATAAGCGTAAAGACGTTACTATAAGAGTTAATAATCTACTTCTTAATCTAGATATAAGCGCCTTTAATACGAGACGTAGTAATATTACCGAAATATAGGTGGGCCTTTATAAGGTATAAGGCACGAATAGGGAGCTTAAGATAGGTATAAGAAGAGGGCTTATAATTAATAGACGAATTCTTAAGAAATTCGGCCTTCGCCTATAGGCCGAAGGGCTTTTATATATAGCTAAGCGAGAGTTACGTAACTAGTACGTAACTTCTATAGGTCTCGTATACGAAGCGTATACGAGACGCGGCTATAGATTCTTATACTACCCCTTCTACTATAGGGGTCGACTACGACCCCGTAAAGAATAAAAAAACTTAAGAACCTTATATACCTTCTACGAGGAAAATCTTTCTTATTAGAAAGAAGAAAGCTCGTAGCTAGAATCGTTAAAAAAATCTCTAGGCGCGGAAGCCGTAGCCTATATCCCTTAGAATATCCGCTTTTATTTATATTATAAGTAGGTGCGCGGAGCGTGCTTAACGCGTACGACTATTATACGCGGGTTAGATATATAGCGCTATACGCTAGGATAGTAGAAAAGTTTAGCTACTTTAGGCCGTTACGCGGCTTAGAGTATTCGGGAGTAGAACTTTATTAGGAATTTAGTTCTACGTAGGGGAAGTAGTAATTACTTTCTACGTAATAGCGGTTATTCCGTCTTTTATCTTTTTAGATTTATAATCGCGAGTCTCGTATATAGCTTAAGCGTTTTAGAATTATTATTTATACGTTTCGGATGCGTATAGTATACGCGGCGCGTACTTCCCCCCTAATATCCCTTCGTAGTAATTATATTAGGCGTACTTATCTTTATAGAGTTTACTATTACTACTCGTAATTCTTAGTTTACGGCTAGGTTTAGTAGCTAGTATCGTTATATCTATATCTATTAGCTAGATAATAGGTTCTTACCCCTTTACGAGTAGTACTTAGGCGTTAGATAGATATAGTTTCTTCTATTAGGTAGATACGTTTCTATAGGATTCGGGCCTATACGTTTTACGTACGCGTACCGTAGAAGGAGCTAGTAAGAAGCCTTCGTATATTAGAATTCTCTTACGCGATCGTTTTCTAACTCTACGCTATATCTATTTTCTAATATAGCTTTATCTTTAACTTCCCCCCGCGGCTCTACCGCTCGTTCTTTAACGTCTTCTATTACTCTAGAAGCTAGTCCTATAGGTAGTATAGATAAGAAAGAGAAGAAGCTATCTCGTATAAGCTAGCTCGGTTTTAAATTAGCTTAAGATAAAGATAAAGATAAGACTCGAACTCGCTATAAGCCGTTTAGTATACGGGACGTCTCTCGACGTCGTCTCGTTAGTATACGCGATTTAGCTTCTTATTAGAAGCTAATTCCGCCTTATTATAAGGCCTTTTATAAACGTTATCTTTTATACTAGGCTTCCGCTTCTTAGATCGATAATAACGTAAAGAATATTATTAAGTAGGGCTATATACGTAAGATACCGCTCTCGAAGTACTAGAGGTATACTAGAGCGCGGTACGATTATACTTAAGTAAGTTTTATTCTACGATTCGTATACGCGTTATATCTTTAGCTAACTCTTTTCGTCTATCTAGCCGCCTCTCGAGTTTCGCCGCGCTATAAACGTATTATCGTTTATACGCTAGTAGGCTATTCGTTATAATACTTCTAAGAAGTAAAATCTAGTCTATAGCTACGCCTCTAAGTATCTTAACTACGTTAAGAACTTCCGCCGACTCGAGAAGACTCGCGTTAAGGACGCTAGCGGTTTTAAGAAGTATCTATACGCTCGGTAGGTCTCTCGCGACTATAACCTCTAACGTAAGTAGATAAGGGCTTTTTTAACCGTCCGCTTTTACTTTTACTAATTCTTAGTATAGCTTAGTA